TGTAAGGATAAGGATAAGGAAAGCCTCCACCCATTATACTTTTCAAGGAAAGGTATGACAAATCTTGTAGTTCTACAACTTACTCATTTTCTGGATTTGGTTTTGTTTGATTTGTGCTTGGAGTAGAAGTACAGTGACAAATGTCATTTTTGGTGCTGGGCTAGAAACCAAAACTCTCTTCTTCTGGCTTGAATAATGGAATCCTGGAGAGGGAGAATAAGATTTCTCCTTGTAAATATTGAATTTTATCTTCCTAGTACAATCATCAGGTGGATCTCTTCACGATATAAAGGGGATCTCTCAGCCCCTCTGACACTTCCCTCAGAAAGAGAAAAAACAACTCTCATGGCTTCCTTGGAGCAGTCTGGGTTCTCAGATCTTTCAATTGCAGATCCAAAGGCTCCTAAAGAGGCTCATTACATGCCATGAAAACTCCATAGCTGAAATCAGATTCAGATCTCAACATATCCAGCTCAGTTTCACCTAAGACAACAAAATAGAACACTTGACTCCTAACCAGATCTTTTGTATATGTAATATTTCAAGGGCATAAACATACCAGGTTTCTCTCTGCACTGCTCCTGAGACAAAAGACAGTCACCCTCAAAGAAAATATCCACTTTCCATCAGGTAACTTTTCTGGTTCATGTGTTCATACACTCTGGAGAAGAAGATTTCTGATGTGACAGATCAATAATTTTCAGGTTATGAAAACTCTTCATAAAAGAAATCAAGTGAAATATTAGGTAGCAATTCTGCTTTTCCACTACCTTCCTCCCAGCTACTGGAAAACCAAGATCATGCTATGTAGCCCAGATTCAGTTATCTGTAGTTATCAAATATCCCTGTCCCAACACCCCACCTGGCAGAAAAAAACACAGTTTAAGCTGTTTCTGTGCTTCCACCATCACTTATTTCCACCTCACTTGTGCAAGTCAAGCAGAGATGAAAGGAAGAGGCCACAAGATGAACTAAGACAGGTCTAAATCAACCCCCTAAATTTGTGGAATCAAGACTTTGAAAAGCAGAAAAAAATCCCAGAGTAGCACATTTGAAACTGTAATTCCAATAAGCCTTTTTTTTTTTCTGTTTTACTGCCTGGTTCCTGCAAACAGCACCGATTTGCAGAGCTGCTGTGAGCTACTGGCACTATGGATTTAATTGGTATATGCAGTTCCATCCCATATCCCAGAGTTCTCTGGAGCACTGCCTCTTCTTTAAGTTTTTTTTTAAGAAATGCTGTTAATATCCTCTGATCATTTCACACCTCTCTTATAATACAGAGTGCAGAAGTATCCACAGTTTCAATTTCTCAAGCTGTTTCACACACACACTCAGATAACACATTTACATTTTGCTGTCACCCACCACTAATTCATCTCAGAGAGCCCGGGGGTGGGGACAGGGGATGAGGAAATCAATTCCCTGCCAGTTTGAAGTGCACATACTCTGAACACAAACAATTAATATAAGGAACCAGTACTTCTCAAAGGAAGTTGCTAAAATGTTGAGTGTTAATAAATGCTGCTCTTGGCTTCATCTAATTTCGTGGAGAGCTCTGATGCTTCCCAGAACCAGCACTCAGCTTTAGCTACCTCGTTAGTGGAGGAATGAGTCAGAACTTTGCAACTCTTCAACCACTGGATCACCAGCACTAATTGGCTGCTTTCCTTTGCTAATTAACAAGATTCCTTCTAGTGATGTGAAATGATGCCAAGGGTTCTAAGCATATTTTTGCTGCTTTAAACTAAAATCTAAATGACCTCCATTGCAGCAGTACTGTTCTCTTTTTAATTAGTTCCACCACCTAATAGTTGAGTAAAGGCTTGAGGTACATGCTAAAAATCATCACAAAGAAATATGTAAGCCTTAAGCTGTATAAATATATGAGGGGAAATGTTGCATCAGCATCAAACTTCAACTACAGAAATCTCTTTTATCTTCATTTAAACCAGATAAGAATTAGTGCCTTGTGTTATTAATGATCATTAAATAATTTTTAATAAGGACACTATTTAATTTTAATTTTCTAAGTTGAAGACTATTCAATATTCAGCAGTTTATGAAGAGGAAGCTCCACTGGCCTTATTGTGAAGGTAAAATACAGATTATCACCTACATTTCCACAAGTTTAAGCATTTGCAAACAGTTAATCAGCCCACTGAGGCAAAGTCTGAAATCACTGCATGGTTTCATATTTTGTGTTGCACTAGGTTTGTTCTTTTTTTCTTTGGTTGCTACCAGAGCCATCAAAAAACAACAAAAAAATCTGGGTTTGTTTTCATTTTAATGATGAAAGTAGATGCTTCATTTACTAAAAAGGTTCAATTCATATTTATTATCTGTGCTCCCAGTTTTAACCTTGCTGGAAATCTTTTATTTCAACAGCCTAAGGCTGACATGCACAACCTTTAGAAAAGTGTAACTGCAAAGAAATGAATGTCTAAAAATGTAATTAAACATTCTAAGCGAAAAAGATCAGCAAAGGCTCTTCTTTGCCCTTTTTATCATGCAGTCATTAAGGTTGAAAAATACCTCCAAAATCATCGAGTCCAACCTGTGACCAATCACCACCCTATCAACCAGACTGGAGCACTGAGTGCTGGGTCCAGTGGTTTTGTGCACAATTCCAGAGATGGTGATTTCAGCCCTGCCCTGGGGAGTCTGTTCCAGCCTTCTCCACCTTTCCCATGAAAAAATTCTTCCTGATGTCCAACCTGAACCTCCACTGGTGCAGCTTGAAGCCATTTCCTCTTATCCTGTTCCTTGTTCCCTGGGAGAAGAGTCTGATCTCCACTCTCTTCTCAGGGAGTTGAAGCAGGAAGGTCTCTCTGAATCTCATTTTCTCCAATCTCAGCCCCCCAGCTGCTCCTCAGAGGACTGACTGCAGACCCTTCCCCAGCTCTGTTCCTTTCTCTGGACGTGCCAAGAACTCCTCACAGTCTTTCTTGCCGTGATGGGCTCAGAACTGGATGCAGCACTCGAGGTTTGGTCTCACCCAGGGCAGCGAGGCAGTCACTGGCCTGGTCCTGCTGGTCACACTTTAGCAGGTACAGGATGCCCTTGGCCTCCTGACCCTCTGGGGCACAATCTGCCTCATGTTCAGCACTGTGAACCACCACTCCCAAGGCCTTTTCCAACAGGGCAGCTTTCCAGCCATGCTGCTCCGAGCCTGCGCCACTCCCCTGCACTGCCTTACCTTGCCTTTCAACCACTCCCTCGCATTGCCTCTTGTACCTTGTCCCTCCATCGATTGTGCCCCACTTGCCTTCTCCTCCCACGCCTTGATTTCCTTCCCTTGCCTTGCTGTACCAACCCCTCCCTTGCCAGCCTGTTCCTTGTTTTTCCGAGCCCTTCCTGGCCTCGCCCGGAGGTACCCGGGCCCACGGGAAGGGCTCGGGACTCGCCCTCGCCGCCACCGCCCCATCACCTCCGGCTCCCCTCAGACGCCAAGCCCCGCCCATCCCGGCCTGAGGCAGCCAATCCCAGCCCGCCTTTATCAGCTCTGTCCCATCACGGTCGCGGCCCGGCCCCTCAGCCCGGCCCCGCCCCGCCCCGCCGTTCGCCTGAGGCGCCGCTCCGGGAGCCGGCAGCCCTTTGCCAGGCGCTTCTGGGGCCCGGGAAGGGCCGGTGGGCTTTCCCCGTTAAGGTCCCGGCCGGGAGTTCTCCCTGGGGCAGGAGGAGACGGCGGCGAGCGGACGCGATCAGCCCCCGGAGCGGCGGCCGCGGGAACAGGGCCTGAGGGAAGAGCGGGGCGGGAAAAGATGGGCCGGGATTGGCTCGGCTGGGCATGCCTTTGGACTGTGATTGGCTGGGCTGGGCATGCCCTCAGGCTATGATTGGCTGGTCCGAGCCGCGCTGTCCTGGAGGGTATAAATAGGGTGCACAGGCCCGGCTGGTGCCAGTGCGGCGGCGCGGACCTCAGTGGCGGAGGGGCTGCAGCGCCGCGCCCAAGGCCCCCCTTAAAACCAATCGGCGCACGGGACAAGGGAGGCCTTGCCTACCCCTTGCTTGCCTTAATTTTCCTTCCCTTGCCTTGTTCTGTCTCTGCCTCCTTGCTCTACCTTTTCCTAGCCCTTTCTTACCTTGCCTTCCCTGCCACGGCCCTGTCTTATCTTGCCCTTTTATGCACAAACACATTGTTCCTTTATTCATGTCTACATGATTTAAAAACTGGCCTGAGTTGTGGACATCAAGCAAAATGTGTGGCTCAGCAGTGAAGGGGGCTGTGGGGAGCCCTGAGCCACCCACAGGAGACTGGAGAGCCTGTCACACCCGTGGCTGGGAGGTCACTCATGGAGCTCCACCCTGCTGTGGGGTCTTGGGTCTGCACCTGTCACAGGGGTTGGCAGCATTAGGGGTACCCAGAGGGAGGAGGAAACATCACTGCTGCAGAAACATCAACAATGACCTTTAAAGAACAGCTCTGGCTTAAGGAGGCAGGTGAGCAAATCCCTGCCCGGAGCAGCAAGCAGAGACAGGAGTCACAGCAGGGGACAGACAGATTTATTATGGATCTGGGAGCAGCGCCATTACATTTTGCTGGGGATAAGGTCACCCCCTGCAGCCAGAGCAGAGAGATGGGGTGGGACTGTTATTCAAAGTGACGGGAACAAGAAGCTGCAGCCAAACCCCCAGGATCTGCTGCCAACATGGGGCTCTGTGGGTCACTGCGGCAGATGTGTGGCTGGCATCTGCTAGAGCCACCTCCACAATATCTTTCCAGCAACATTTTCAAGGGCCAGGGCATGGCACAGGAGTCAGTGCAGCCTCTTGGCTCCCACCAAGTAATGAAGGGCATAAGACAAGAATAAATACAGCTTTCAAAGTCACCTTGATACCCCACCCACTGCTGCACAGCCCGGTGAAGGCATTTACAGAAGGAAATGTGTCAGGCAGAATCCAGCAGAGACGTAGATGCACCCGAAGGGGTTAACACTGACTCGTTCGTATCCTGATCTCCTCCACCAGGCTCTCCCTGCGAACATTGACCTACACAGAAGGAGCAAAAAGTTGCTTTAATACAACTCCAGCAGCTTGACTTGTCACCACAGTGGTGGCCCTGTGTCTCAGGAGGTCACAGCAAGGTGTCACCAGTCTCTCTACAGGGATTGAGTGGGCTGCAGCAGCCACAGAGCTGAACCTGTAAGAGCAGGCGGCACCAGCAACCCCAATAAGCCCTTTCCTGCATAATGGTTGGGTGAATGATGCTCTTCCCACACTTTGCTGTTCCAAAGCTACTGATCTAGGTGACCTACACACTGATCTTAGCCAGTGACCAATGCACTGATTTCAGTGCTGCCTGTTTTGGGACTCTGTCCTGAGACAACAGGCACAGAGCAGCCCTGCAGTTCAGGGCTAACCAAGTTCTGTTTCGTCTCACTCATTCCAAGAGTGCCACTGAATCACCCCTCCAGGCTCCTCAAGGAGGCCACGGGATAGGAAACTCTCCAGAGCTACAGACAACAGCACTTCATGACTCCAGGAAGGTGCATGGGGCAAGGAACTGAAATATGGGGTGTTACAGAAGTTGCTGGAAACACCAGTGGGTCTGGAGGGCTGCTTTGAGCTGGGCTGAAGGGTCACATAGCCAACCCCACCATGCCACACACCGTACCTCCTCCCTGGTTGCCACAATCCGTAGCTTGACGACTCCATCTTTGAGCTCCTGCTCACCCACAATGGCCACAAGAGGGATGCCTGTGTCCTCACAGTACTGCAGCTGGTTCAGCAGCTTGGGGTTCTTCTTGTACAGCATCTCTGCCTGGGAGAAAGCCAGAGCACAGCACCTTCATCAGACTGGGATGTTTCACTGGACCCCTTCAGGCACTGCTGGGCCAGTCTGATGGGGTTGTGTGGTGGGGACAGGATGGGCTCATGGAGAAGGCCGGGCACCAGGTTCAACAAGGCCCTGCAGTTATAGGGCTAACCAAGTCCTGCTGCCCAGCCCTTCCTGGAGAGCTCATGATTTGGGACACTGAGAAGAGGAAGGCTCCATTCAGGAAGGCAGTCTGCTCCCCACCTGCTCCTTTCCAAACCAAAGCCAGATCTAGTTCATTCCTGGACAGAGAGTGAACCAGGCAGCTCTTGACTTTGCCATTACTCAGTCATACCTTGATTCCAGCGTCCCATAGTTCAGAGATGAGCTTCAGTCGCTCTTCAAGGAGCTTCTTTTGGGCAGAGGCCACCAGCACCTGTGTCTCTGTTGTCCTGACCTTTTCCTCAGAGGCCTAAAGTGAGGACAAGACACAAAAGATGGCACAGACATACCAAGACACCTGAGATTCTACCAGCAGGATGGGTCAGCACTCAGCTCCATCAATCTAGCAATGAATAGGACTGGGCTCAGAGGGATCAGCAGCATTAACTCAGAGTCAGGGAGATCCCACAGATCCCATCCTAGAGCTGAAACAATTTTCTGTGATGTGTGCTTAACACATCCTCCCTCATGTTTCTCCACACCCAAGGGCCTCCTAAATATCTGCTCCAAGCAACTCAGAAGCAACACACCCAGGAAGTGGACACAGGCAGCTGCCTGCTCTACAGCTGAGGTTCTAACTATGGGTTAAACAGCAGCAAGCTGAATGCTCCACCAGCCCCTGTGGCAGATGCTGGATACTCCATGTGGCATTTCCCTGCTGCCTTGCTGAAGGGCACAGCCTTTAAAAGGTCACCTGCAAAGGAACAAACCTGGCCAGGACTGGAGGTGATGGGGGAGGAATTCAGTTTCTATTTAGAAATTCCAGTTGTGTCTGGCTGCCAAAAGAGAACCAACAGCAGACTTCTGGGGGAGGGGAAACACATTCCAGGAGCTTACAAAGAGCTATTTAACACCCATTGATTGGGATGGAGAACAGTACAACTTTGAGGAGGGGGGAGAGGAAAAAACTCTCTGGGAAACCCCTAGAGGCACTGCGGTCCCTGCCCTGGAACATGTGATCCCTGTCTGGTCTCTGTAGTGCCATAGGCAGGAGGAATAGATGTGTGAGGCTGCTGCCTCCCTTGCAGAACAATGCTGCCTTAACAAGGAGGACGTGGGCTCACACGGATGCCAATATAGTGGTGAACGCTGAGGTACCTGCCCCTGCTGAGGATTAAAGTGCCCCCTCCAGCTGGAGAAGCCATGTCTAAGGGCTGTGGGAAGAAGGGTTTTATCTTCAGTGGGAGCCCCAGATATGACCTGCCAGGCCAGAGAGAACTGGAGGTGATATCCTGGATCTGACTCCTGATGCAGAGCACAGCAGAGGCCTGGCTGGCTTCTCCAAAAGCTGGGGCAAGGAACACTCACTTCAGCATCTGCTATAGTGAGGAATTAACCATACTTAGCTGAGCACCAAAGGTTAGGTTCCAACCTACTTGCTGGAGCCCTGAAGCCTGGGAGCTTTGAACTTTCTGGGCTTTCTGGCACTGATCCCCAAAAGAACACTGCTTTTGACTCACGGCCTTGGAGAGGGCTTCTAAAATTGAGTGATGGAGTTGGGATCACTGGTGTATAGTTTGGATAGAAATGTGTATTATCACATGGTGAAGGGTTTGGAATTTGGAGTTTTAGAATACAGTAACAGGTGTGGAACAAGATGGACATTCTAGAGCAGTGTCTTTTTCTTCCTTCTTGTTCCTTCTTCTTGGTTTTAAGCAGTAGTTTTTGGATGGATAGAAAGTTCTGCAGTGTGGGTCGCAGGTGTTTGGTCATTGGGTCAAAAGTATAAATAATACAGATGCCAGTTTTTAACTGGACTGTTTGCCTTTAAAAGATCTTGTAACTAGCGAGATCCACTGACATTTTTTCGCTTTTAGGTTGTTAACTAGAAGTGCTGTAGCACTCACTGTACTACAGATAAGAATTAATAAACAACTAAGTCCAAACACGAAAATCCTGCCTCTTGTGCTTCAATCCTGACTCTGACTGAAGACAGAGGAAAAAAAAAGTTAGCTACTAATACCGACCTCCAGTCTCTGCTCCAGGATGGAGAAGATCCGCTCGATCCCAATGCTGACCCCCACACAGGGCACCTTCCTGCCCTTGGGATCAAACATCCCCACCAGCCCGTCGTAGCGGCCGCCTCCAGCCACGCTGCCAACGCTGACCGGCTCCTCCACGTGCTCGTTCTCCTGCTGCAGCAGCACAGCCTCAAAGATCACCCCTGTGTAATAGTCCAGGCCCCGGGCCAGGCTCAGGTCAAAGGAGATCTGCAGGGAACAAGGGTGGCCCCGTCACTGGGTGCTCGGGGGGCACGAGGGCACCACCCCCTCGTGTCCCCACACCTCCTCACCTTCCCTGTGATGCCAAACAGGGTCAGGTACTCAAACAGCAGCTTCATGTCCCCCAGCCCTTCCTTGGCCAGCTTGTTCTGGGATAGCTTTGGGTCCTGGAGAAGCCGCTCGATCAGGTCCAGCCCACCTGTGGGGACCAGCCATGCCTCAGGTGTGCCAGGGCAGCAGCGCCTGGCACGGGGTCCCAGCCAGCCAGGTGTGTGCCCTGCACCTTCCACCCCCAGCCCAGAGCGAGGCCAAGGACACGACCCCGTGGTGCTCACCATGGAGCTGGACATACCCCCCAATGCGATCTGCAGCCTCGGGAGAGAGCCCCTTCTCTTCCACCATCTCACTCCTCACTTCTTCCCACGGCATCTGCAGGGGAGAGAAGGGCATCAGCCACTGCACCAGGGACACAGGCTCTCCTCTGCATGGCAGAATCCCATCCTCATGGTTAGAAGGTGCATGAGTGAATTAGCAGCTCTCAGAGCACAGTCATGTGTGCATAACTCCATTTCTTGCACCTCTGCACAGCCTGTTTGTCTCTCAACCCTTTAAAATACTTTTAGTTTGATTTCTGGCCAGAATCAAATATCAGCACTGTATAACCACTAAGTCTAAGAGCCATCTTGCTGCTGTGCTTTCCCTGGTTAGGTACTTAAAGACCACTCAGGAAAGTGTTGCTGGTCATGGAATCACCTGGAAATGTGTGAGGTATTGCTTGGGTAATGGAAAAAAACGAATGTAAGCATAAAATGCTGCCATCTCCCCACCGACCAGGGGTCAAAGAGAACCAGAGTCTTGATCACATCCAGCTGCACTGAGATAAATCACAAGGAAGTGATCCCATCAGAAGGAAGACAAATGCTCCCTTCTCACTGCCCATCTGATGATTCTTCCATAGGAAAAGGCAGTTCACCCTTCAACAAAGAACCATGACCACAAGCTGTTGTTTTTAACATGCCCTAGACTAATTTGGTGCAGGTTTTCATGAACCTGGTCCATAAGCAGCAACACCTTGAGCAAGTGAAGGTTTGGGATACTGAACCTCCTATGTGAAGAGCATTTTTGCCCTCCCACCTTTCCTTTTATCAGGACCTCATGGGATAGTGGATAACAAAACAAAATTCCTGTGTAAATGCTGTGCCCTGCATGTATCCCTTCCAGGGAAAGCTGAGAACAACTCCGTGCTTATCAGCATTTTCCAGCCAGTTCTCATGGACCATGGTTCATTCCCTGAGACTCCAGCAGCAGCAGATGCAGCCTGGGGCTCCAGCCCATACCTTATCCAGTTTGTCAACACTGGAGCAGATGGTTCGGAATTTGTTGTCCGGGACCCCACAAACTGCAAACATCCCATCAAGGATGCGCCGGTCGTTGACCTGGGGGAAAGGGAGCAGCACATCAGGAATTATCAACTCAAGCAGATGCTTCAGCAGTGTCCTGCTTCATTCCCCTGCAGTTTTAAGCATGGAAGAGAATATAGGAGATGTCTGTCAAGGGTGTTTTTTGCTATTTGCAATTTGTTTCCCATTCATGGGGAGCTGAGCTTCCCAGAGCAGACCAAATAGCACAACTGACATCTACCAAGCCTGGGCAGAGTCATCACATTTCCTTCTAGAGCCACAGGCACCTCCATTCAACAGAGAAAAAAAACCCATCAGGGCCTATGAATCCCCTCATGTGGACATGTAAAAACAGCTCAGGAACACACCACAGACAAGGAGATGAATTCTGAATATTACCCTACACTATCAGCATAAGAGAAAAGGGACATCTGATTATGTTAAATCCTCAATGAGGGGTTTTTTTTAATTATAGTATAGTGAATTCTGTAGCTCTGTAAGAATACATAATTAAGGCCAAAGACTCAGCTGGGTTCAACATTTCCACGGGTTGTGAGAATATCTACAATTAGCTAGAAACAAAGAAACTGCACAGGAATTTGGAATCCTCCAGCATCAGCATGAACCAGAAAGTGCCTTGTGGGAGACAAAAATAACCACAGGCAGGTTATTCTATTGCTCCCTACTGCACGAGTGTTTTAATCCTCAAAGCCACATTTTTACCACTGCCCAAACATCCAGTTCTTTCATCTCACCCCAGACAGGTTCAAGGGGAAGTACCTGATCCCTGCCCCATGGGACTGCAACAGGAACACAGCATCCAGCCTGCAGTGCCCAGGAATGGCCCAGCTCCAGGTTTCTCATAGATGCCCCTGCCTTCCTGTGCATTCAGCACTCCTACCCATTGCTCTCCTGCTCCTGTGCACCCTTCCCGTCCTGCTTCACTTACACATCTGAGCACAATTTGCTGCCATCCCAAGGGAACAGAGGTGTCTGGAAGCAAATAACAAGCTCAGCCTACAGTAGGGTATAACTCCTGGTCTAGAAAATGCTTCAGCTCCAAAAAGGACTTGGTGGAAAGGCAGGAGTCTGCTGGCAATACCACACACACTGAGCAGATGCCCCTGCTAAGGGGACATCAGGAGCTGGGATGAGGGCAGGAATCCTGGACCAGAGCCTGTTTTACTGCAGGCAGTGAATATGACAATCACCTGCTTAGATAGATATTAGGAAGATATTTTTTATTACTGGAGCAGTGAGGCCCTGGCAGCATAGGTTGTCCAGAGCAGCTGTGACTGCCCAATTCCTTCAAGCATTCAGGACCAGGCTGGACAGGGCTTGGAGCAACCTGATCTAGTGGAAGGTGTCCCTGCCCATGGCAGGGTAATGCAACTGGTTTATATTTAAGGTCCGTTCCAACCCAGACCGTTCTATCATCCTAGCTGGCTGCTGGAACTTTGCAAGGGACTGTGGTTAGTTCTGGAGAGAACACGGTCAGCTGCAGCCTCAGGAAAACTCCTGTCGTTCCCAGCTCAAAGCAAATCCAAGTGGAGTTCCAATCTTTAGCACAAGGGGGAAGCACATTTGCTTCTAGGCAGAGAGGAGGGACAAACTTCTGGGTCAGGCCTTAGAGTGGGAACAGGTACTGCTGTGTAAAACCACAGAACAATGACCACTGCTTCCCACTTGGCACAGAGAACCCACCCAATCTCACCTTGATGACAAAGTCCCCGAGCTGCAGGTCATTCAGGATCTCGTGCACAATCTTCAGGCACTCGGCATCGGGAATCATCGGGTCAAACTGCCCGGCAATGTCAAAGTCCTGGAGGCAGAGGAAAAAGCAGTGAGCAATTCAGCACCACAGCATGGCTGCAGAAAAACAGCTTCAATAGACAACTGGTAACAGCAGCTTGTATACAAAACCCAACAGAATTGGGATGTGAGGGAGCACTGTCCCTTACAGATTCAATCCAGAAGGGACAGGATGTGGGTTAGGATCTCTACCATGGAAGGCAGCAGTGCTCTCATGCCCACTGCATTTCAAAGAGTTTGTACACTGTGACCTGCTTCCCTGACCCAGCAGTTGCTGTGTGACAATCTGAAACAGAGATTCTCAAAATACAACCGAAAGGAGGAGCAGCAGTAAATAAACAGAACAAAGGAACCAGAAAGGGGAGGAAAAAAACTGTTCTCATTTAGTATTTTATTTACTACATGCCAAGTGTTTGGCCTTGATTCTTAGGGTGCTTTTTTTAATACACATGCCAATCAAGTTAATGATTAGGGAAGGCAAGAGAAGCAAAACCAGAGTTTCAACTGCTAAGACAGAGAAAGGAATCAGGAACCCCGAGTGGTCCTCACCAGGGATCACCAGATCAACCAGCATGTAGAAGAACCAAAGCCCAGCATCAAGATGGTTTAATAGGCTGGTCTGCCACAACTGGAAACAACATCAGTGTTCAGAGAGAAACAAAACACAGAAGCAACAAGAGAGCCCTTGTTCAACTCCTCTTTAGGAATCCCCAAATGCAAAGTCTTCAGTGAGATTTCAGGTACAAGAATAATTTTCATTATGTGGATATATTTCAATGGGGCTTCACCAAACTCTCCAAATAAACTGGGGCATTGGAGGAGGAGATGGGATCACATAGTTAAATTCCTGATTAGTTGAGTCCAAAAAGAGCTGATGCAATCCCTGGGAAAGTTGGGTAAGGAAGTACAGGAAGTGTATAGGAAGTCAGGAAAGTGATGATATCGCTGTAAATAGCACAGATGAAATCTCACTGGAATAAAAAACAGCGCTGGTGAATTATATTGAAGAAAAGCTGAAGGAAAAGGTGCTAGGCTGAGAAAAGAATGAAAACATCTCCAAGGAGAGAAAGTGAAAAAGGTAACAGACCTTGATTTACGTGGTTTAAGGAGGGGAAGATTTTAAACATTTCCCAAATGTTTACCTGGGAAAGGGGAAGAATACATATCAAGGGATGACAGTTACTGTTTTAAGAGCTGAACTGTTTAAATGAGAGAAAGGAAACAATCAGATACAAGTAAGTTTAGCCTGGATATTAGAAGACCATTTCTAGCTGTTCTAGGAGTGAGATCTTGGAGTAGGAGATGAGGCAGGAGGCAATGACCCCAAGTCATCGGGAAACAGGAATCACAAGCCAAAGCTAGAAGGTATTCCCAGAAGTTGTATGATGAAGTAGGAATATTCTCAAACAAAACAAAATTGTTTGCAATATGAGTCCCTGGGGAGTGTACCAGCAGAGCAGAGCAGAGCAAAGCTGTTCCTTGGGGCTACTTGCAAGAAAGCCAGGAAGGAAATTGCTTTGTTATTTGTTCTGTAATTTGGCTTCTGGGTTTTCCCTTCCTTTGAAGGGAAAAACATGGAAGGGAGTAGCCTATGCTACTGCCTTGCCTAGTTTGTATGTCCTGCTAACACACCCAGAGCTGAACTGTTGCTAGATTTGGGATCAGGAAATTCTTCCCTACCACCCATCCAGCAAACACTGTGAGACACAGCAAGGAGCTGCCCTCCCATACAGAGCAAAGGAGGTGATACCTGGGGGCTCTATGACAAAGTTCCACACCACGCCAGCCCCGTGTCACAGCTGTCACGCCCACTCTCCAGTTGTTTTTCACACTCATAAGGACACACCAAGGAGATTAGTGGATCCTTCAGAGCTTTCCACAGCCACAGGGAAGGGTAACACAGCTGTTATTTTGACAGTGCTGTGCATCCACAGGTGCTGCCCAGACCCCAGCCCGTCCCAGCAGTGTCCTTGCCCACAGCCAGACTCACACACTGGTAGAACTCGCGGTAGCGGCCCCTGGTCATGGCCGGGTTGTCCCTCCTGTACACCTTGGCAATGTGGTAACGTTTGATGTTGGTGATCTTGTTCATGGCCAGATAGCGAGCAAAGGGCACCTGAGACAGAGAGTTAAGGATGGCAACAAGAAGGGATCATCCCCCCCCAGTTATCAGTCACAGGCAGTGCTGGGTCCTCACTGTCTCCCACCCAGCACCCCTGGGGCAAAGAGGCATCTGGACTTATCACAGCCCCCCAGGGTCTCCACACACGCTGCCTCCAAGTGTCCCTTCAGGCTTCTTCCAGCAGCACCTCAGGCTGGATCTCAGTCTCATGTGAGCAGCAGCCTGCTCTGAGAACTCTTCCTGGGAGAAACCAAACGGAACAGATCTTCTGTACTTCCACACACATGGGGCATGAAGCTGTGTCAGGGGAGGGTCAGGCTGGATATTAGGAAAAGGTTCTACCCCCAGAGGGTTGTTGGGCACGGGCTCAGGCTCCCCAGGGAAGTAGCTGTGGCCTGACAGAGCTCAAGGAGCATTTGGAAAATGCTCTCAGGCACTTGGCTGGAGTGTCTTGTGCAGGGTCAGGAGCTGGACTCGAAGATCCTTGGGGTCACTTCCAACTCAGGATATTCCATGATTCTAAACATTCCTTCACTGAACAGAAGCAATGCAGAGTAAATAACCAAGCAAGGGTTCTGCACCCAGTGAACCACACTGCCTGCTCATGCTCTCCTTGTCAGTTTGGGGTCCTCCCTCCCCCTCAGGACAGTGCTGCCCCAAACGGTGAACAGACAAGGTCCCTCAGCACCAGTTGTGGCAGGATACTGTCAGGTCATAGCGCAGGGACAGCAGCTCTCCTCCCTGATCTTTGAGATCATAGATGAGCTTTGAGTCTTCACCGTATTTCCCTGTCAGTGTCTCCTACAAAAAACAACACATGAACAAACAGCACCTTCAGTGACAAGGGATCGGCCCTGGAGCACACAGAAAAACAAGGAAAGGGAGAATGCCTAGGAACAGGAGAAGGAAACTCAACCCTCAACACTCTCAGCTGCAGGATCCTCACCAGCTCAGCCAACCTGCTGTGTCCTCACCCACCTTCAGCTCGAACACCGGCGTGTCGATGACCTCGGCTCCGTGGCGCTTGAAGCACGAGATGATGGCTTTGAAGGCTCTCTCACGGATGGCCATTTCCCTGGGGCCAAAATCCCGGGTGCCCTGGGATGAGGGAAGAAAAGGAGCAGAGGGCACTTTGGGTTAGAGGCATGAAATGAGAAAGATGCTAGAAGCAATATGAAGAAGCTGCCATATTGCTAACAAAGCCAGAGACACCAGGTACAAATACCAGATATTGGTAAACAGCACTAAAAACGTTGGAAAACATCAGGACACAGCTGAGAGTCTGCCAAGGTCTGCAGAGTGAAACCTAAGTCAGGAGTTTCACAATACAGGAAACAAAGGAGATAAAACAGATCCAGCAGACAGAGTTCAGTGATTTTGAGCTTGACAGTGCAACCACGACCTATCCTCAGCTCTGATTCAGACCTATATTAGCCAGACCCCTGCCCAGTGAGCCACCCCAAAGGTAGAAACAGAGGACACACATGCTCTGGAAACTGTGGAACAACCATCAGCTCTGCAATTTCCAAACACAGAGAAAAATCATCTTTCAAAATGCAACACTTGTGAAATGTCTGCCTACAATTCACAGGGCCATGCACCCTTTCTATTTCTTGGTGGCAAAGATCACTGAATTATTTCAGTGACCATCTTTATGCTCTCAGATATAAATCATTGTTAATTAGCGAGACCTCCAACTTCCACTTTATAAAACCAGTTAGGCAGGAGGAAGCACCCAACACACAGATCACTCAGGTGGCCTTCAGCTGCCACTGACAAGCCTGAGATAGGCTGGAAACTCAACTGAGTTTCTCTGGCACTCAACAGGGCTGCAAAATCCCCTTCTCCACACTTTTAAACGGTGAAATACCCTTCCACTTTCCAGGCAGCACACTGCAATTACTATAAAGGAAATGGACAAAGGAACAGTTTTGAGACATTTAAATATTGGGAATAAATTCTTCCCTGTGAGGTTGCCCAGAGAAGCTGTGGCTGCCCCATCTCTAGAAGTGTCCCAGGCCAGCTGGACAGGGCTTGGAGGAATCTGGGATAGTGGAAGGTGTCCCTGCCCATGGCAGGGGGTGGAACGAGATGAGCTTTAAGGTCCTTCTAACCCAAATCATTCCATGTTTCTATGATTTCTTATGTCAGTAGCATCACTATAGCCTAGTTTGTTTGTGAACATATTTATAACTGTCTCCATGCCACAGCATGGAAGCAGGTGGTCTCTGATCAGCTGCCAGTGATGAAACATCCAGGTTATAAAGTTTCAGCAGAAATTGCATTATGGACACTATTCTTAGGGGCCTGGAGACTGAAAAATTACTTGTAAAGGAAGAGTCCTTCCACAAGAGGACACAGAAATTCCAGTAGCTGGCCAGACCAGTTCAGTAGAAACCCCTCAGACTAAGGGCAGATATGAGCCCTCTTACACTGGACAGATACAATAAAGCTTGATTAGAAGGGAATTTCCTGACCACACCAGCAGTGTTTGGAATGTCACAGAAGCACTCAGAAGCCTCTAAGGTGGTGGGCAACTGGGTTAAATGCTGTCAGGGGATGTTTCCATCCCTCTCCCCCTTGCTGCTAAAATAGAAAGTGAAAACAGAAATGCGAACAAAGGCAGGTGTGGCCGTGCTGGACTTTTGCCCACAGATATAGGAGGGGTGCTGGGTGTGTGTATGGGAGGGAGGACATGCACACAGAGGGGCACAGGACGCACACAGAGGGGCACAGGAGTGTGCTTTGGGGAGTTACCTTCGGGGTCTTGAGCACGAACTTTTGTTTCCCCTCATCTGCCCCCAGCTGTGCCTTCATCTCGAGCAACTTTGTCACTTCCTTGGCAATCTAGGGATGGAGTGAGGAAGGAGATGGGGATAAGACCACCCACCAGGCCCATCCCACTGCCTTCCCCAGTACCTTCAACCTCAGCATTCCCAGTGCACCTGGGTTCCTCAATACACCCACTATTCCCAGTTTCTCAGCAACCACAGGACACTCCCTGCCCCTCTCCAGTACTTCCCATTTCTCATACAAGCACCCCTAGTTCAGAAAGCAAACATCCTCACCATTCTCTGACTCCCACAACCTCCATTACCATCCACAGCTATCTCCACCACCACCAGCTCCTGCTCCATGCACCAGCGGTTTCCAGCATCCTCCTCCCAATCCTAACTCTCCCAAGCATCCTTCCCTTCAATCTAACACCGCTATCACCACCACGAGTCTCCTCTGCACCCTCAGCCCTTCCACTTCCCAGCCCTGCACTGCCATCCTCTTCTCGATGCCGCCAGCCCCAGCCCAGTAACCTCTACACCAGTATTCCCAGTTCCCCACCCACCGCCCAGCTGCTCTCCCAGCACAGCCCCGGTGCCCTGAGCTCCCTCAAGCCACTCGTCCCCATCCTAACACAGTCGGAGCTCCACTTCTCATTCCCTGCCCGTCCCAGCGCGCAGCTCCCAGTCCTACTCCTCCTCCCCAGCACCCCATTCCCAGCAATCCCGGAGCCCCGCACCTCGTCAGGATCGGCCTTGTCCTGTTTGAGCCTCCGCACGGTCTCCGCCTGGGCCCGCACCGCCGCCTCCTCCGCCATGGCGAGTCCGTGTCCGTCTCGCGCATGCGCGACTCGCGCGACTCCCGCGCCTCCGCCGCGCACGCGCAGCACCGCCCCCGCGGGTAAATAAAAGCCGGAGGCTGCGGTTTGGGTTCATTATTGGGGTTTTTGTTTAATGTATAAAAATGCAGCCTCTCCACGCGCCCCTCGGCCTGCGCAGCTGCTCCAGCCGCTCGTGGTGTTCCCTCCGTGACGGGACACGTGCTCCCTCCAAGGCGGTCCCGCAGCTCCGCGCCCGGCTGCGGGTTGGGAGCGGCCCCCGCAGCCCAAACAGGGGCGGGGTTGCCTTTTCACTGCCCCCCTCGCCCCACGTCCTGAGCCGGCAGGTGCCCAACACACCATGGATTCCCTCTCCCAAATCTGGAATTCCACCTGATCCTGCTCGAGCAGCACCACATCCATCTGTGCCACCACCACCTACAGTGATGGAAATGGTTGTACAGGTACAGGGACTGTAGGAACCCACGAACTTGACCTTCAGAGAAGCTAACCACAAGGTTAACCTGGTGACTGCACCGTCCATTGCTTTTAAAACCCTCTTACTCCTCTGTTCTCACTGCCTTAGCCGAGGCAATGAGCCTTAGGCCAGTGGGTGTTACCCAGACCGCAGCTGGCAGTGAATGGCTGAGGTGCTGGATTCCAGTTGTGCAGCAGTTCAGCCAAGCAGCTCCAGCCAGAGAAGTCCTCAGGGCTCCAGCCTTCTCCTGATCTCATCAATCAGCTTTTCTCTTGGGATATCAACCTGCAAAGCAAATAGAGCAGGATTAGAGAAGAGCACTTTTAAGGATTAAGTGAGGATAGCAATGCAGTTTGTGACTGGTTTTCTGGAGTCACTCAATAGATCTGTGCTATGGCCTCCCAAAGGAAAGCTGGGGGAAAACACAGAGTTCTTCCATGATCTCTAGAGTTTGGAAGTACTTTAAAACCTGGTGTAAAAGGGCATCATTCTCACCTCCTTTCTTGTTGCAACATCTCGAAGCTTGACCACTCCATCTGCCAGCTCCTGCTCTCCCACAATGGCAGCCAGGGGGATCCCTGTGTCCTCACAGTACTGCAGCTGCTTCAGCAATTTAGGGTCCTTCTTGTACAGCATCTCTGCCTAGGAAGGAGTGGGAAGGGTGAATCGTTAACCCAACTTTGCTCTGATGAATACTGCAGTAAAGCACCAATACCAAACCCTCCAGCAACCACTTTACTGCTCTGGGCTGTTCTCTGCCTGCCTAGATTTGAAAGTGGGAATTGATGATCTTGGAGGTCTTTTTTCAACCTGAATGACTCTGTGATCTCAGACAGGCCCAGGTCTTGAGTAGACACACAATTAATGGAGTTGGTCTTGTTGTGCTACAGCTCCCTTCAGGCTCTCCCTCCCTCACCTGGGACACTGCCAAGGCCAAGTCATTCCTTTACCTTGATCCCTGCGTCCCACAGCTCAGAGATGAGCTTCAGTCTGGCAGCAAGCAGGTGTTTCTGTGGTGTAGCCACCAGCACTTGGGTCTCAGTTGTTCGAAGTTTCTCCCCAGAAGCCTGAAGGGACAGACATGGGACATCCATGGGAGTGACTCCATGGGAATGTGCAGCTCACAACATCTCACCTCATCTATCTCCACACCTTAACTCAGTCAGTGAAAACCTGGGCACTTTTAATGAGCCCCTCAGAGACTATGCATTCTATCACACTATTAATTGTGTGCTGCTGTTCCTAGGGGACCCTGGCCAACCTCCTGGATGGGACCAGGACAGCTTTCCAATGTCTGCTTTGATTTTTCAGGTACAAACACATTGCCTCAGCTTCACTTGCTAGGAATCACAGGCTTAGAACCAAACACAGAATGATCAATCTCCACAGAGGCTCTCCTGGGGTTTATTCGAGTGAGTTCACAGCTGTTACCAAACTAATTTCTTCAGAATCCCCAGGACAGAAAACTTCAGAGGCAAGACACAAGAACAAAGTGACTGGGGCACACAGCTCAGAGCCAGGCCCAGAGCTCAAGGCTGTCTCTAACATTTCTTTGACATCTCCAAGGGAATGCTGCCCTCAGCTGCCCACACCTGCATCCCAATGGGCTGCAGAAAAAGACTCTGTCTTTTGTTCACTGATATTTAGGCATGGGAAGAGCCACCCTCTCCCCCCAAAATTATTTTCCCTTGAGCACTGTGGAGCTGGAGACCTCTAATAAACAATATTTCGTTTCCTAGAGCCTTCCCCAATGCACTGCCTGCATCACCTACCTCCAGTCTCTGCTCCAGGATGGAGAAGATCCGCTCGATCCCAATGCTGACCCCCACACAGGGCACCTTCCTGCCCTTGGGATCAAACATCCCCACCAGCCCGTCGTAGCGGCCGCCTCCAGCCACGCTCCCAACGCTGACCGGCTCCTCCACGTGCTCGTTCTCCTGCTGCAGCAGCACAGCCTCAAAGATCACCCCTGTGTAATAGTCCAGGCCCCGGGCCAGGCTCAGGTCAAAGGAGATCTGCAGGGAACAAGGGTGGCCCCGTCACTGGGTGCTCGGGGGGCACGAGGGCACCACCCCCTCGTGTCCCCACACCACCTCACCTTCCCTGTGATGCCAAACAGGGTCAGATACTCAAACAGCAGCTTCATGTCCCCCAGCCCTTCCTTGGCCAGCTTGTTCTGGGATAGCTTTGGGTCCTGGAGAAGCCGCTCGATCAGGTCCAGCCCACCTGTGGGGACCAGCCATGCCTCAGGTGTGCCAGGGCAGCAGCGCCTGGCACGGGGTCCCAGCCAGCCAGGTGTGTGCCCTGCACCTTCCATCCCCAGCCCAGAGCGAGGCCAAGGACACGACCCCGTGGTGCTCACCATGGAGCTGGACATACTCCCCAATGCGATCTGCAGCCTCGGGAGAGAGCCCCTTCTCTCCCACCATCTCAGTCCTCACTTCTTCCCACGGCATCTGCAGGGGAGAGAAGGGCATCAATTGCTGCAGGATCTGCCTCCCTCAGCCCACATGTGCACAACTTGTGTGGAACAACAGTCAGCAGTCTCACTCATCATGCCTCTGTCTCACAGGGATTTTTAACAAATCACCAGTCTTTATTCTTAACCAGGCACAAGAACTGCTCAAATCCTTCACAGACCCCGTCTTAGCTGCTGTGAAACTCTTCACAACAAAAACAGCCACAACACTGCCCAGCCTTAGATATCCATCCCAAAATCAGAAGTGTCTCCACATGAGCCCAATGCTGACCTTGTCCAGCTTGTCCACGGTGGAGCAGGCAGGTATGAACTTGCTCTCTGGAACACCACAGACAGCAAACACCCCATTCAAAATGCGACGGTCATTGACCTGGGGAAGGGAGAGACACACTTACACTGGGGGCACCCCCTGATGTAAATCATTTTTTCCTGGTGTGTGGGAAGCTGCAGCTATTGGCCTTTCCTTGTGCCTTATCCCCAGCACCCAAATTCCATGGGAAGAGGTGTAGAGGTATTAAAACCATCCTGGGACTCTGTTGATCTAGTCAGCTGTTGGAATTCTGCACAAGACTGTGATTAGTCCTGGAGAGAATTCTGCTGACTGCAGCCTCAGAACTCCAGGTATTCCCAGCTCAAGCCATGTCCAAGCTGAGATCCACCCTTTCCATATCCACCATGAGGAGGCAGAGATGTGGGATGAACTTCTGGGTCATACCTTACAGTGGGCAGAGCTACTCCTGTGTAAAACCACAGGAACAATGACCACTCCTTCCCACTGTGGCACAGAGAACCCACCCAATCTCACCTTGATGACAAAGTCCCCGAGCTGCAGGTCACTCAGGATCTCGTGCACAATCTTCAGGCACTCGGCATCGGGAATCATCGGGTCAAACTGCCCGGCGATGTCAAAGTCCTGGGGGCAGAAGAAGTAATTGGAGTTCCTGGCAGAGCCAAGGGCCCTTAGCCAAGCACACCCTGCTGCTCTGCAGCAGCTGGAGGCACTCTAGCAGGGAAACCCTCCTGGTGTTGTGGCCTTGGTGGCAGCACTGGCCACCACAACACTCACGCACTGGTAGAACTCGCGGTAGCGGCCCCGGGTTGTGGCTGGGTTGTCCCTCCTGTACACCTTGGCGACGTGGTAGCGCTTCATGTTGTTGACCTTGTTCATGGCCAGGTAGCGAGCAAAGGGTACCTGGGCCCGAGGAGTTAAGGATGGGAACATGGAAATTCCCCAGCACTGCAGAAGATGAATTTCAAAGCCTCCCATCACCCGTTCCCTTTGCCAGACACTTCCCAATTTTTGTCACAATCATGGGGAGATTCTTGGAGTGTCCTGTGCAGGGTCACAAGCTGGATTTCAATGATTCTTGCAGATCCCTTCCAATTTGTATATTCTATAACTCTATGACCTCTGGGGGGGATCATCCCCCAGGATGAGGGTGAGTAAAATGAACCACCCGAGCTCCTTCAATGCTGGGACAGCTCCATTTCCTCCTCCAGCCCCACAGTGTGCCAACACCACATACACAAAGACCCCTTCTCATCATTCCACTCTCTCCCAGTGTGATCAGTGGGAACTCAATGCATGGCACAGCTATACAGACATTGAAGGAAAGAGGTTTCATTGAGATGTGGAGGTTGAGAAGGCCTGGTATGGACACCTACAGCAAACATCTTTCCAGATGGGCACAGCAGAGGAGATAAAACCAGTACAGTGGAGCATACTGGTGCATGTCCACAGCACGAAGGGGCTTTGCTGTAGGCCCTGGCCTGGCTGGGGAATGGTGTGGAGTCATGAGAATGACAGCCAGACCAGCAGGGGTGGCCAAAGGGGCTGCCATCTCCCCAATGGGACCAGTGGGACAGGGCAGGTTAAGAGCGATCCCTCAAGGCAGAGGTGGCCACTACCTTGGTGTGCCACCATCCCCTTGGGAGCACAGGATACGGTGAGGTCGTAGCGCAGGGCCAGCAGCTCCCCTCCCTGGTCCTGCAGCTCGTAGATGAGCTTCGTGTCCTCCCCGTACTTCCCCATCAGCGTCTCCTGGGGAAGGGCAAATGGTCTGGTGACTGGGGCAGCTCTGGGGGGAAGGATCCCCCGAGATGGGGCACAGAGCTCGGTCCTCACAAACCGGGCATTACACACATCCCCCTCCAGCCTCGTCGGACCCGAGTCCACCTCCCTGGTCCTCCCAAAAAGAGAACCAAGAGTGAATGTCCAGCTGCCCTCCCCACCTGGCCAGCCCCACACAGAGGGAGCTCCCAAACCTGTCCTGGAGCCCCGGGGGAAGGGGACGCTGACCAGTCCCACAGGAGGGAGCCCCACAGCCCCCGGGACGGGTCCCTTCCCCACACCACGGGGGAACAGAGTCCCCGCCGCGCCTCACCCGCAGCTCCAGCACGGGGGTGTCGATGGCGGCCGCCCCGTGCCGCTTGAAGCAGGACACCACGGCGCTCAGGAGCCGGTCACGGAGCGCCGCCTGCGCCGGTGCGTGGTCGCGGGTGCCCTGCCCGGGACAGAGAGCGGCCGTCAGTGGCACGGGCGCGGGGGAACATCCGCTACCCACTCCCCACTCCCCGCCTTTACCTTGGGCGTCTTCAGCACCGGCACCCGCTCGCCGTCCGCTGCCGCCCGCATCTGTAGGGACAGGGGGCCGCGGTCACCGGCCAGCAGCCAGGACCGGGCGAAGCTGCCGGGGCTCCCAGCGAGGCACAGCGGCCCCGCCGGTAGACATCGGGCAGCGAAGGGTCCGAGGCGCAGCATGGCCGGCACCGGGACACCGGGAGCGCGAGCACGTGACCGCGGCGGGACACGTGACTGCGCGGGAGGCCGCGCTTTACGGCGCCGCGCGACAGTTCCCGGTGCTGTGCCCTCAGCTCGCCATGGCGTCGGGCAGCGGGGTAGGTGCTGCCGCCGGGGCTGCCCTCGGGGCCGGGGCTGCCCTCGGAGTGTGGGCTGCCGCCCGCTCGGCCGTCCCCGCTGCCCGTACCGGGCTTGGCAGGGTCGGGGGCACGGTCCCGCCGCGCCGCGTTTGGGGCCGCTGCCAGGCCGCGGGATGAGGGATGTGGCGGGGCCGGGGGTGCCGCGGTGGGCGGGTGTGTATGTGTGGGGTGGGAGGGGGCTCATCCCTGCTCTTTACACCTCTGTGTGTGGGCGGTGAGAGGTTGGGGTTCTCTTGAGACGCCCCGATACTTTCAGGTCTGGAAGTGGGGTGGCCCCACCGCGATCCCAGCGAAGTCGTGGAGTCACCGTCCCTGGAGGTGTTTAAGACCCGACAGAACGTGGCGCTCTGTGCCCTGGTCTAGTTCACATGGTGGTGTTGGGTCACAGGTTGGACTCGATGATCTCAGAGGACTTTTCCAATCGCAGTGGTTCTGTGATCTTCCCATCCTAGGGCCAGAGCTCCGCCTGTCCCAGCCAGGGAGCAGGAGGAGACTGAGCTGCCTCAGCCTCCGGGGTGGGGGTGCCCTGGAGGGACCCCACCCATCTGCAGGGGCTGGGCGATGGCTCATGCAGGCTCCTTCCCTTGCCTCCCCAGAGAAAGGGCTGCCTTTTTCCTGTCCTGATGGAGAAACATCTCTGCAACTCCCAGACAGGAGGGCCCAGCCAAGTGTGGGTTGGGCCCAGACAACCTTTCTGAGAGAAACAGACTCAAAAGTTGCAGTAGGGGAGGTTTAGATTGGAAATCAGGAGGGATTTTTTTCCCAGAAGGGCCTCTCCAGGGAGGTGGTGGAGTCACCATCCTTGGAAGTGTTCAGGGTACGACTGGATGTGTCACTCAGTTCTCTGGACTCGGTAACAAGGTGGGGATCTGTCACAGCTTGGATTTGATGGTTTTGGAGGTTTTTTTCAACCTAAATGATTCTGTGAGTGTTAAAATAGGATGGGTAAGGTAGATGCTGCAGGTGTAGGCTGTAGGTGAAGAGCCAGGCTGTTTGAGCACCTCCAGTGACATCCTAAAGCTGTCAGCAGCACGGGGACTGTGTTTTTGAGCCCATCTTTCCTTCCTTGAAGCCACTTACTGAGAAGTGAGGCGCTGGCACTGCCCAGAGAAGCTGTGGCTGCCCCATCCCTTGAAATGTTCAAGGTCAGATTGAATGAGGCTTGGAGCAAACTGGGATAGTGAAAGGTGTCCCTGCCCTAGGCAGGGGGGTGGGACTGGCTCATCTTCAAGGTTCCATCCAATCCAAACCATTCCAGGATTGATTCCATGAAGTGGGGGAGGTCAGGAGCAGGATGTCTGCCTGTGGTTTATTGTCAGCTGAGGCTGTTGGGTTGAGCCTGGCTGGAGACTCCTGTGTTGTTTAACAGGCTTTGGTGCTGATACTGGGCACATCTGTTGTCCACCTCCAAAGGGAACAGGAGATTGTGGGGCACTTCTGGTTATTAATATTTGTTATTAATTTGGGAAGTATTCTCTGTCACCCAAAACAGTTCTGAGATGAAGATTTTGGGGTCTTGCAGCCCCCTTGCCACCACCAGAGCAATTCAGAAACATCCCTTCAAATATTGTCCAACTAAGATCTTGTCACGCAGTTTAGTTTAATTTCTTTCCCCACGCCTGGATGAGGCAGATTGGTAAAAGCTGCAAAAGACTCTTTTCCTTTTATTGCAACAGAAGAGAGAAGCAGCTAATAAACCTCCCCCTCTGCAGGCTCCCACCAGCTACAATTTGTGATAATGCCTGGCATGCAGGAGAGTCTGGAAAATACCCCCAAACGTTAATTTACACTCAGTGATATTTTCTTTTCTTTTGCTTAGGGTGGTTAATAAAACCTGTTACGACATCCTTAAAGTGCTTAAGAAGCTCTGGGAATAAATGAGAATTTTTCTACGCCTCCCCAAGGCATTTTCATCCCTATCAGTAGTTGTTCGTTCCATTTGAAGGATTGCCAGAGGAGAGAACTTTAAATGGCTGTGCTGCTGCTGTAGCTCCAAATGGGATTTGTGTCCTTTGGATTGTGATTGGATTCTTGATTTGGCTGAACGGAGAAGGCGGTGGGGTGTGTGTGGAGGGGGTCCTTCTCCCCCAGAGGTGTTTTTAAATACATCTTGTCCTTTCTTTAATGTGAAACTGAGAGGCTCTCCCTGCCATGCTGAGGGAAATGCAGCTCTATCCAAAAGGGAGTTATCTGCTCGGGAAATTCAGGAAGTGGCTGAGTGAAACTGTGACTGATCCCAGGTGCAGGGGCCCGAGCTGCAGATGGGGCAAATACTGGGAAGAGCTTGAGCTGAGTTGGTCAGAGTGGATGTGAGTGGAATAGGAATTCTTGTCTGATCGTTTCTGCCCTCAGCAGTGGGGACTGAGTGAAATCTACCCAAAACAAGTATTCTTTGTATTCTTCAATGACAGCTTCATTTGAACTGACAGCTTCATGCCACATGCTGTGTCCAGCTCCAGGGCCCCAGCATAGGAAAGACATGGACCTGTTGGAATGAGCTCAGAGGAGGCCATGGAAATGCTCCAGGGGCTGCTGTCCCTCTGTTGTGGACACAGAGAGCTGGGGCTGTTCAGCCTGAACACCCATCTCTGTCCAGAGAGACCTTAGAGCACCTTCCAGTGCCTAAAGGGGCTCCAAGAGAGCTGGAGAAGGACTTGGAACAAGGGCATGGAGTGACAGGACAGGGGGGAATGGCTTCCCGTGGCTAGAGGGCAGGGTTAGATTGAGTACTGGGAAGAAATTCTTCTCTGTGATGGTGGTGAGGCCCTGGCACAGGTTGCCCAGAGAAGCTGTGGCTGTTCCATCCCTGAAAGTGTTCAAGGCCAGGCTGGATGGGGCTTGGAGCAACCTGAGACAGTGGAAAATGTCCCTGCCTGTGGTAAAGGACGGGGAACAAGATGATCTTTAGAGTCCCTTCAACCCAAACCATACCAGGATTCTATTAAACTATCCTGTCACTGTCAGATAGTTCTGTGGAGCTCCCAAAGGTCCAGCATGCCTTGTTTCTGCCCTTCCCTATGTGAAACTGCAGGAGCAGGACAGCAAAACCTGTGGATTTTGTACAGGTGCTTCTCTGGTATCTCCAAGACAGGGTTTCAGAGCTTGTTCTGGCTTGCTTGTACATGTGCTCACTTGGAAATCCCACACTGTGCCTGTGATTTCATGTCAAGCTCAGCACTTTGATGCCTGCAACACGTAGACACTGCTGAGAGCAGACAGGCACAGCCTTCCCTGCTCCTGCAGTGTAATCAAACTCTCTACCTTGGGCTGTGTTTTTCAGCTTCCTTGTCAGACATTGCAGCTTGGATTCTTTTGACTTCTGGAAGAAGGAGGTGTAATCCTACTGCTGTTTGTCAGGGGGCATTTCCCAGGTCTGAGATCCATCAGTTTCAATCCCATTTGAGTCTGATTTTCAAGGCAGAAGCCTGGATGATCGTCTTAGGAGCTGTTAAGATCAACTCATTTCTTCTTTTAGTGCTCTGAAATTATTCTAGTAGTAGCCAGAGGCATGCTAAGAGTGATTATCTTAAACCACATCCGTAATTCCTGGATGGAGAGCAGAGGACAGGGGGATATAATGTAATTCTCCTAATTTGCTGCACTAGCCTCACAGGCTGAGTGATTTTACCTCTTTACCCCCTCAGAGGTGATCAGACTGTATAATAAATGTTCATGAACTTTGTTTTCCTCCCAGACCAAGAACCTGGACTTCCGTCGCAAGTGGGACAAGGATGAGTATGAGAAACTCGCGGAGAAGCGGCTCACAGAGGAGAGAGAAAAGAAAGATGGTGAGTGGTGTGCTGGCTCCAGGCAAGCTGTGCTGGATTGGCAGTGAAGCTCCCAAACCCTTGGAATTTGGGAGGGAGAGAGTAGTGAGAAGTTGAACCCCAGAGGGAAAGAGCTGTCTTGCTCCTACCCTTTCTCCTTTGTTTGCCACTGAGTGTATTTTTTTAACAAAAGAAATCACTGAGAACCTTTCCAGGGGCTGGCTCTTCTTTGGGGAAGGAGGGAAACAGTTGCTGGAAACAAGATCTCAGAATATGACTCAAGTCAGAGATGTACCTGGTTCTAATAGCCAGGAAACTGTGAGGAAGAAATCATATCCTTTACTGCTTTAAAAACAAAGGTGCATTTTCTGCATGGATCAGGTAGTCCCAGATACCCAGCAGGCCCCTCTGTACCAAGGGGGAACATGAAATCCAACATGTCAAGCTTGACCTTTGTTTATATTTTAGGCAAACCAGCTCAGCCTGTCAAAAGGGAACTTCTGCGGCACCGGGACTACAAAGTGGACCTGGAATCCAAGCTGGGGAAAACCATTGTCATCACCAAAACTACCCCTCAGTCAGAGATGGGAGGGTAGGTTGTGGTCTTACTGAAGTCTCAGAGTCATGCTGGTTAGACTGGGACGCTGTGACACAGCAGAGACCCCACACAGGGCACCAGGAGCTGCTGTCCTGTGTTTGGAGCCTGGGATGGTGGGGCTGCATTTTCCTACACCTAAACTGTGTCTACTGGGGTAACATTTGGAAGAGAGCCAGCAGGCTGAGCCCCTTTGGACATTATTTCTTGGTATCAGTGTTGTCCACCTGTAGGACCAACAGAGGCAGATCTCTGCTGCCTGCTTGGGTGTCTTTAACCAGGCCTGCTTGCACTGAGACCAGGACTGCTGCTGATTTGGATATCTGTGCACTGGGAATGGGAGAAACATCCAGGCAGTTGTTCTTAGGAATGGTGTTTGGCCACTGTGCAAACTGTGTTCCACCAAAGTCTGAAAGGGTTCTGAGCGCACCCTAAGCCATCAAAAGCATGAAAAGAATGTGTTGAGTTTGTGTCACCTCAGGAGTGAACCCATTAGTGTCTCTCTGGGCAGTAGTGCCAGGGAGAAGTGCAGCCCTAAGCATCCAGGGATGGCAGTTCAGCCCCTGGCTGGACTTTTGCAGCAGCTCTTAAGATGGGCAGAAAGCACTGCTGTGCTTATTAGGGAGTTGCACTGTGAGGTGATAGGGATGGTAGCACTTACCTTGCAGCCAGGTGAGAGGCTGTGGAATGGACACCTGGGCTTGCTGCCCTGGGGCAGGTCAGGCTGTGTCACAGATGCTGTGGCTGGTATCTTGCAGAGCAGCTCAGAATTTGGTTTCTATAATGTCAGAGGGGTGTCACTATAAGGGTTGCTACCTTCCCTGGGTCCCTCTTTTTTGGAGAAGTGTCCTGTATCCCCAGTGACATGCAGATTGTCTCAAATAGCTGCTCTGTGGGTTGAGCTTTGTGCCATGCTTTGGGGTTCATTTTTTCTGTCTCTCCTGACAGGTATTACTGTAATGTATGTGACTGTGTGGTGAAAGATTCCATCAACTTCTTGGATCACATCAATGGCAAGAAACGTAAGGACCATTTCTTTGCCTTATTGGGGGGTTGGTTGAGTTGGAGGGACTTTTCCTTTTGTGCATCACCCATGTCTGAGGCCTGAACACTTAGCCATGGATCAGGGAGCTTAGGAGATCAGAATGTAGAAGCTCACCATGAGAGCTGTGGAGGTGCTGCCCTTATTCTCCTGACACCTTCCAGAGTGCTGGACCACTTTCATGGAATAAGCCCAGCAGAAGCAGTGATTGCTGTACTCTGGTTGGTGAACATATTTTCCCCATCCATCATGTCAAGGCTGTGAGAAACCCAGGGTCAGAAAATTCCACAATAGTTTGGGTCATCTAGTCTATCCCCCAAATAATGATGTCTCCTCTGTAAATCTGGAGAGAGGCTTTTTAGAGCACTGAAACTGTAAAGAAGTACTTAGATAAGTAAAAGTCTGGGACTGGCCCATTTTTGGATCAGAAACTTCTCTTTGTAGAAGTTGAATATGAAGCTCAGAACTGGCTGATGCCTGAGCTCCAGAGTATGGGTCTGGACTGCCTTCATTGATCTGACTGTGGATATTGCTTCTCTATTCAGAGAGTGGGGAGTGTAGAGAAAGTAAAGGAGCAGCAGCACAGACTCACACACTTTGCATGTTGTTCCTGCTCACAAAGGTGTTTTTGGCTCCTTGTGGAAGTCAGAAAATCACTCCTTTACAAAAAGGCAGGGATGTGTGTGCTCTGGACCTGCACACGGGGCTGTTTGAGAGCAGGAGGTTCAGAAGAAACCTGAGGGCTGTTTCTCTGTAGCTCAAAAAAGAAAACACAGTGTTATAAAAACCTGTGCTTTTATGTGAATGGGAGAAAGGTGCCGACGTGCCTTGTTTGACATGTTGGGAGATGAGCAAGAAGTTCATATGAGAGAATCTGGAATCAAAAATCCTGGCGTGGCTGTGTGGATGGGCATGAGTTGTAGGGTTGAGCTGGGATTGGAATGTGGCTCGTATCACAGTACCCTACTATGAGTATGTCTGAGAACTTTTAAACCAGTCAGTAAGTCTGGCTCAAACATGTTTGTTCTTGGCAGCCCTTTTAATTCCTGGTGTGTAGTTTAAGCTTCCAAGTGCTGCTGCATCCCTGGGACAAACCTGTGCAGGGCTGCTGAGTGAACAGGCTGTTTGCATCCACTTGGGAATGTGGGTTGGAGGCATTTCTGGGGGTGGCTCTGTCAGCACAGGCTTATCCACAAGTGAAAAACTGTGACTCTGCTCTGAAGAGCCACTGAATCAGAAGCCTGCCTTTATATTCTCTGCTTTAGCTAGGAATGTCCTGTGTAATCAGATCTCTGAGTGCCACTCATGTCTTGTTTAGCATTGCCCACAGCTGAGAGATGCCAGCCTGTCAGTTTTATTCTGGATCCTTTTTCAACACTCCAACTCCTTTTTATTCCACTAGTCCAAGATTAAATTTCCTGAAGCAGCAGAGCACCAACATGATGGGGACTATCCAAATAAGGAACCTTTAAAGAATAGTCTTTAAAGAATACTACAAGTAGTATTTGGACTGCTATGGGCACTGTTTGTGTGGGTTATGGTATCCCCCTAAAGCCCACCTTTCCAACCTAAGAAATCCTTAGTCTAGCTCTAGAAGGTGCTTTGAGGGGGGTGACAGGCAGGAAGGTGGTGCTGTGCTGTGCTGTTTAAATTGGGATCAGGGATGGAGACGTTGTGCAAAACCCTGAAGTGTTGCTGAACACTGATTGCACCCGTGTTCTCCAGACCAGAGGAATCTGGGCATGTCCATGCGGGTGGAGCGTTCCACACTGGACCAGGTGAAGAAACGCTTTGAGGTGAACAAGAAGAAGATGGAGGAGAAGCAGAAGGATTATGACTTTGAGGAGAGGATGAAAGAACTCCGTGAGGAGGTGAGTCTGGGCAACAACTGAGGAAGCAAAGCTCCCCAGAAATATGTTTTGGGAGGAAATCAACCCTGGTTCCTGCCCTTGTTCCTCAGTATTGTTCTTGGTAGCATGGGCTTCTCATCTGCTCCTGTGAGTGGGGGTTTGTTCTTCTGCTTTTGAGAAGTTTGTATTGCTGTCCCTGGAAACCCTTTCCCCCTCTTTCTGTGTGAGAATAACTTCAGATGGTTCAGATTTCCACTGAGAACAAGTCCATTTTTTGTCTCCCACTAGTTGCATTGGAACTTGTGTGGTCTGGTAGTGCACTACATCTCCATCTCCATCCATTATCTTCCACAGCTCTTAGGATTGCTGGAATCCCCTTCCACAGGGCATTTGCTTCTGTGTGGCCTCCTTGAGTGTAGAAGGGCTTTGTGAGCAGCGTGCTGTTGTGCAAGATGTGTGAGGAGGTGATAAAAGACAGCAGATTTCTCTCAAACTGGGGCTTAGGTGTTAGTAAACCTGAAAATTAATTATTTGAGGACACAACAAAGTTCTGACAGCTGAGAAGCTTCTATGGGTGTTTCTTCTCTATCAGCAACCACGTAACCCAAAGTTAAAAATCACTGCCTGTTTGGGTCTCCCTGCCCAAGACCTGAGCTTTGCCTCACCAAAGGGAGCTCTTTGGGGTGCTCACAGAGCAGCCCCGTGCTCTGCTCTCTGTGGGCAGGCTGTGGTGCTGCTGAGCCCCATCTGTTTGGAGGGTAGGAGGGAGGTGCCCCAGCAGCACAGGGAGTGCTGTGGGTTGAAAAGCTGCTTGCAGTCAATGGATGGCAAGAAAGAAATCAGCAGCAACTCCTGGAATAGCTTTCTCCAGGACATGGCTGTATTCAGGAGCACAGTGGACAGTGAGAATGGTGGGAGCAGTTGCTAAGTTGGGAGCTGAAGCCATGCTTTGGTGTCACCCAGTACAAACCTGGCTCTGTTCCAGGGCTCGTGATCCTCACAGAGCAAAACACTTTGATTAGAGCAGCGCAAACTCTTTGATGCCAAAACCCCCCTCAAAGCCGCTCTGAGCTTCGGCTTCTGTTGCAGTGAGCAGCTGTCACTCTGCCAGGCTGAGAGCCAGCAGGCATCACCATCACTGGCATGGAGCAGTGGACAAGGGAATGGCCTCCTGCTTTCAAACCAGCTCCTTCTTGTCTCAGCCTTGATTCCAGACAAAACTTGTGATGTTTGCTCAGAAGAGAGAGTTTGATAGTGTTTCATTTTGTCTCTTTGTGTGTGTGGCTCTGCTCTTGGCCTGGGAAGTGGGGTGGTCTGGATTCACTGGTGAACTTCCTCCTTGAAGACTGCAGGCCAGGATTTCTGCTCTTTGTTTATTTCCTCAGGCACAGCTTGGCTACTGTGGGCAAGATTTGTGTTAATTGTGCAGTACCTGGTGTCTCAAAACTCCATCAGCTCAGGAGGTGCAAATTATTTTGCTGTTGTGTCCCTTGCTGCAGGAGGAGAAGGCCAAAGCCTACAAGAAGGAGAAGCAGAGAGAGAAGAAGAGGCGGGCGGAGGAAGATTTGACCTTTGAAGAGGATGATGAAATGGCAGCTGTGATGGGTTTCTCTGGTTTTGGCTCAACCAAAAAGAGCCACTGAGCAGCTCTGGACTCTCCTCTTTCTCTAAACAGCTTGTTTTTACCCAGGGAACTCTGGATAACTCTTCAAAGACTTGATTGAGGACTTGTATGTAAATCTCCCAGTAGAAGTTGGCTGGAAGAGTTGAAAAGCGATTCCATGCTCTACCTGTGCTGCAGATCAAGCTCTGTCTCTCATTAACTTCCCTTCTCCTTGTGTGTCCTAGATCTGGCTGCTCAGCTGCTCTGTGGCCGTGTGTGTGCAGGGAAGTGCTCTGTTGGGTACATTTTTTTGTCAATAAAGTGCACATTCTGCACAGGTGGCCTGGTTCAGGATTAATCTAGTTGTCAACCAGGCCCTACTTGTCACCCAAGCTGTGTTTGAGATACTGGGAGGGATTCAGTTGCTTTTAGGTTCATAATGAAGGAAATGTGCCACAGCAAGTAGTGTGAGAGGTGCATCTTTATGGTTTGTGCTGAGCAGAGCTGGTGGCTGCATGGAGTCTGGGTTGCTGAAACTTTCCTGTTTGTTTTATCTGCAAGGGAGACTTCCCTCTTTTTCTTTGTGTTTTATCCCATAATTTCAGTATCGTTAAGGTAGGGGAGAAATTTCTCCCCATGACTGGTCTAGGATAGAGCCAATGAAAGAAAGGTGTGTACAATTTGCCAGAAATAAATGGAACGTTTTAATTGGCCCTTTGGTGGGGGTTTGATGCCTTCTTTATTTTGAGAGCTTCTGTTTCCCACGGAGAAGAGCTGCTGGTGTCTCTCAGCAGCACAGAGCTGGGGTGGCCTTCTGGGGACCCCAATGGTGGCAGAGGAGAGGTGTGTGCCCTCCCCTCCTGGCTCACTCCCAGCTGCCCTAGACAGGCCATTGCCATCAGTCTTGGCTTTTTTAAGTAATTCTGGAGATGGGTGTAAGAATATGGAAGGGGAAGGGAGTTCAGGGCTGGGGACCTTCATTCCCATCAGGCAATCCAAGACAGGCTGGGCTGTGTTCCAGATTTTACCAGCCTTAGTATATTAAGGGCCATTTTTTTCCTGTCTACTGGCTGTCAGTGTCTTTTCACCTCTGCCTTCCCCTAAATCCACTTCATTTCTGCTTTTATTTACCTCAGTCAAACCTTGTGTGACTCATTTCCGTCTGCAGTTAGGATTTATATTTTGCATGGCTGGGTTTTCGTAGCTCTGTCTCGCTCTCCTCTCTCTTTTTATGTATATTGATGAAATCCTTGTGCTTGCCCTTCTCCGTGCTCGTATGAAATTTCCAGCCTGGGGAAGGCTGCAGTGTTTAGCCTGCTCTTTCTAATACATCTAGAACAAATCCTGTAATGTTGTGCTGCTGTTTTAATTCCTTAATCTTAGCCTGCTGACAGCTTCATTGCCTCAGGTCTTTCCGCTTCAATTCAGATTATAATCCCCGTTGAAGATGCTATTGAAATGATATATAGCCAGTCAGATACAGCTGTCCTTGGAGGTTTGACCCTTTTAACTTGGCAATCCTTTGACTTTGGCTCTCTGAGCACACGGGCTGGGAGGGCAACTTTCATTCCAGCCACGTTCCTAGCGCTGTTCAGGCTGCAGCACGTGGCTCCGGCTGAATGGGAGAGCGGAGACGCTCGCGCCTCTGTGCCCTCCGGGATGCAAAAGGGATGCTGCTGTGGTTTCATACACATTAAAAGTTTAGGATGTTTCAGAGAAGATTTAGCAGCAGCCATTTTATTCCAGCCACCAGCTTTGCAGACATCCAGCCCCTCAATGCAGTTGGTGCTGCTGAGAAGGGGGCAGAGGCTGCCCCACACCCCCCATCTTTTCCAGCTTGTGACCTTGGAGCCAGTGACAGCTGTCTTGGTTTGCTCACGGTGTGTCCTGATCTTCTTGTCCATCCTGGCACACCCAAGGGGCGAGGTGTGAAATGAGCAGCCCCACAGAAACCTTCCTGGGGTGGTGGTGAGGTTTGCACAGCCTCCTGCTGCTGTGCCTTACCCGTGTTCCCTGCAAGACAGGGAGGAAATCCCTCCACAGTGCAGTGCTCTCAATAAAGAGATTCCTCTTTGGTGTAAAGCCTGTCATCCCCAAGCCCATCCCGAGGCCCCCTGCACCCTGGGGGGCCAAAGCCCCAGCCCCAGCTCCCCATGCTGGGGCTGCTGGCGCCGGGGGAGTGCAGCTCTTTGTCTCGGCAGCTTGCTGGGAGCAGTGGTGTGTGCAGCAGCAGATACAAGCTCCTGCTGGATTCCCAGCAGCGGGAGCTGCCTCTAGCCAAGGATGAAAAGCTGGTTTCATGGGAGGAAATAATATTTAGAGAAGAGACAGATAACATTCCCTGTACCAGCTATGTTAACCCTTTGCTCCCACCACTGCTTAGTGAGGTGTTAACCCTTGTCTCTCGGCCCCCAGTGCTGGGGCAGTGGTTCTCCATGACTCCTTGTTAGCATTTGCTATCTCCATGTTGAATTTAAGGTGCTGGATGTACCAAGGAGGGTCAGGACTTGAAGTTTTACTTGGAGAGAGAGAAGACCCGGGTCTGCATCTCCCTTTCTTCTCCTCACCAGTGAACAAGGCTGGGGTGCTCTATCCCTACTGGTTCTCATTAGCTCTTCCACAAGTTAAAACTGGGGTCTGGTGGAGTCAGTAGAGATGTTTGCATGGTTTGCTCATCCAGGCTGGGATGTTCCTGCCTGCTCTCAATGTGAAAGTGCTGTGAGGTGCCTGAAGCCAACTTGGTGCTTGTTCCCAGTGCTTGGACAGAGGTGCAAGTTCCTCGTGACCTGTGGTTTGGAGGACCTGGAGGAAGGCTGAGGACTGTGCTCAGCTTGAGCTGGCCCCCTCATCTCCATCCCACTAAATATTGATGGCAGTGTTTGGAGAAGAACTCAGGCATCACAGCAGACTCCAGAAAAAACATAGATCTGTCTTGCCACCTCCACTTCCTCTCTCCCAGACATCTTCCCTGGCCTCATCCTGGGATGAAGGGCTGAGGCCTCATGGAGGGCCTGAGCACAAATACCCGGCTGCTCTTCTTTCTTTCTTTCTTTCTTTCCTTCCTTCCTGGGCACCCTGGAAGCTTCTGGGCACTTCCTCAACTCTGCCCTCTCCTGCTGGTCCACCTTCCTCTCACTCTCTACACATTCTGCTTGGGACTAGATGAGCAGCAGCAGCATTCCCACTGTTCCAGTAAATGACTGGGACCAGGGACCTGAAGTGATTCTGGAGAAGGGGTCCCAGACTGGCCCTGTGTGTTACCCTGTCTGGGCTAGTTGAATCGTTCCCTGTGACTTTATTAGCAGAAAGACCTGTTTTTTCAGTGATTTACACCAGTTTTGCATCCTGAAAGATTTAAATGCTTGGCAGGAACTCCAGTCCTCCCACTGCTCAGGCCACAAGCTACAGCTGCCCCAGTTAGGCAGGCATTCCTGCCATTTGCCAGTGTTAAAGCTAAACAACATCCATAGGCAATCCCCCTGGAAATCCTCCCTCCTGTCTGGCTTTGACCTGCTGCAGTGGTGCCTGGAATCTGTGCCACCAATCCCTGCCTGTGGAGGCTCCTGGGTCTCCCATCTGTCCCATCAGTGCTGTGGCACCATCCCACACAACTCCAGAGCCAGTATTCCTGTCCCCTCCCAGCTCTGCAGAGACCTTAGGTACTGAGAGTCACTTGGATCAGTCAATGCTTGGCCCAGTCTGGATCCTGTCCTGCCTTCCTTGTGTGGGGACAGCAAGGTGTCCTCAGGGGAGAATCTGATCCGTGCAAGGGCAAAGGTTCAGCTCCTGATTAGAGCTGAGGTTGCTGCAAAAGAGAATCACAGGATCCTGGAATGGTTTGGGTTGGAAGGGACCTTGAAGATCAGCCAGTTCCAACCCCCTGCCATGGGCAGGGACACCTTCCACTGTCCCAGGTTGCTCCAAGCTCCATCCAACCTGGCCTTGAGCACTTCCAGGGATGGAGCAGCCACAGCTTCTCTGGGCATTGGTTGAGAAAGGGGTGGGAGGCAGAGAAGGGCAAGGTGAAGATTTATGGAGGAGAGAATCCCTGGGCTGGGAGGTATTTGGATCCAACTTGGATGCCAGCTTTTGCAAAAAGGGTCAAGCTGGGAGCCAGGTACGCCCACAGTGAAGTGGTGCTTGGCCTGGAGACCTTGGCAAGTTGGGCCATACTCCACACACTCAATTTCTGGGGCTGAGCCAGCTCAGACCACAGATGGGCCCAAGAGGGAACAAATAGGGCAAGTGAGTGTTCCAAACTGGGAGGAAGGAGACAGCCCCAGTGCCTCCCTCATCCCTGGCAGGTCTGTTGCTGCACCCAGGTTGGAGGGTTGCTGAATAGATGGTTTCTGCTGGGTTCAGTGTGGGGCTCCTGAGCACAAGGGAGGTTTTGCTTTGTCGTAAGTGAAGTACAAAACCATCACCAGCCAGAGAACAAACAGCTCCAGGCTGGAGAGGGAGCAGGGAGAGGGAGATGGGGAGGAGCAGGGGGAGCATGGGGACAGGGCCATCCGCAGGAGGTTTTTCAGGGACTTGTGATCTCAGAGCAAATCTCTGCTGTTGGCTGCACACCAGTGGCACCATTTCACCAACTCATGCGTGCCTCCCCATCGCCAGCTCCGCAGTGCTGAGCGCCTCGGGGGGGTCAGGGCCGCTCTGCGGAGGGCTGCGGGAATATGGTCCCTGCTCGGAGAGCGTGTGATCTGCCAGGCAGCCAGGAGCCCCGGGGACACTGCCATGCCTTTGTTCCTCCTTCTCTTTCTTTTCCACCTTCAGATTTTTTTTTCCCCTCTGCTTCCAGCTGCGTATGCAGCGCTCTCCCCCCCGCCTCTTTCCACCCACAGTTCCTGTCTTGATTTTCCTTCCCCTCTACAAATATGTGTTCCTTAGGCTCCTTCTCCTCCCTGCCCAGCTCCTCTCATCAGTGTTGCCTTCCCAAACTTCTTTTTTTCCCCCCTTCTCCCTGTTTTCCCACAGGCCCACTTCATTCCTTCCCCTTCCTGCTTCTCTCCCCTTCCCTCCAGCCTCTCGGGCTCCCGTTCACTCACTCCGTCTCCCCTTCTCTGACAGTTTGGGGGAAATCTGTCTGTGTCAACACACAGATTCCATTATTTATTGGCTGAGTGGAGCAGGGTCCTACACTCGTCTGTAATTGTCTCCAGATCAAAGCGGCTGCTGATGGCAGCTTTGCCTTCCCGCAGCAGAACACCACCCCCAGCTTCCAGCTCCCCATCCTCCCGGGGGAGTCGGGTGCGTGTGCGTTGACACCCTCGATGACTGATCTCTCAGACAGAGAGGAAAGAAGTAGGGCTGGTGGGGGAGAAAAGGGAGGCCTGGAGGATCTGCAAAGCTCCCCGGAGGAGATGGGGATGGTGGGGCGTGTCTCAGGGAGACAAAGTCCTTGGCACGGGCCGGGGGACAGTGGGAAGGTAGAGATGGTCCCTATCCTGGGAATATAGACAGAGAAATGAAGTGAAAGAAGGGACAAGGAAGCAGGAAACATCCCCGTATCTGTCCAGGACTGGAAGAATTAGAATTTTAGAAATGGAGAGGGATAAAGGAGAACATTATTTTCATGCCTTTCCTTTCTGAAACCACCAGCCTATCCCAGGGATGTGGGACTTCAACGTGAACTGCAGGCACACAGTTTTTGTTTGGGTGTTGATGCAAGATGTCTGTGGGGAGAGGAAACATCCACTCCTACTTCTGCCCCTTGGCCTCCTCACTGGGGTCTCAGCTTCAACATGAGTGGAAGAGCTGCAGTGGTTTCTCTGCTGGAGGAGGTGAGGTCAATCAGAGCCACTCTTCCTTGACCCATTATTCCCACTTTATCATGATACACTGGGGAACTGGGAATCTTTTGATGCACGTAGATATGTCAACCCCAAAAGACATAGATACCATTAAAAGTCCTGACAGCTTGGTCCCTTCTCACTGCCCAATACATGAAGCTGTCAGGCTCAAGCCATGGCTCTGCATTCCTTCTAACTGTCAAAAGCATTTCCTCCTGGTAACACCTCCCTGGCCCTACCATCCTTTCTCCTCTGGTTTCTCTCTCCACAGAGTTCAGGCAGTTTCGCTTACACTTCTCCGTCAGGTATTGTTCCAAGCCTTAAATCAGTTTTTTAACCTTTCAGAACTTCAGGCACAAGTGTTGTGGGTAATATTCCAACACCAGTCACATTGGTGCCTGAGGAGGAGAGGTGTCACCTCCTCTCTCACAAAGCTCCTGCTCTTCCCCTGGGCAATCATCACACTGTTGCCCACCTTTCTTTCCTGCTCGCTGTTCCTTTGTCCTTCCCAGCAGAAAGCAGACATTCTCTCAGGACATTTTAGGGAAACCCTCTAAGAGGATGCCCACAAAATGAGTAGTCCCAGCCCTCAGGATAATGGGGACACACCCCTTCTTTTGCTTTGGGTCCCAAGTCTCTTACTTCAAGTACAAGACACCAGCCATGAGAACAGCTCCTTTGACAGCTTGGGTTTGCAAGAAATTCCCCCCCTCCAGAGCAGGAGGGGAGCCTTGGCTTCCTGAGCTGCCATTGAAGCAGCTGTGTCCTACAGGGAGTCAGAACTGCCTCCCTCAGAGGCTGAGCAGGACTGGACCCCATGTCCTGAAAAGGCTCAGAAGGAAGTGACAGCTACAGAGGGTCTGCTCAGAGCTGAGCCTTTCATTTTCCATCTGTCCCAGGTGAAAGGACTGGGAGAGTTGTCCCTATGTGTGGCTGGCCAAGAGAGTCAAATGCCTTCTACCAATAGTGAGCCTTGAGTTGGTCACCTCAGCAACATCTTCTCACCTACAAACCCCCTGGAGCTTCATGAACACATCGTGCCTGGTGCCAAAGTTCTTCCTGCACCACTGCAGAGGAAGAGGAGGGTGGCAAGCAACTCCAGCACCTTGCAGAGCAAAACCCATGGACAAGGACTTCCAATGGGAATAGAGTCCTGGCATCCTTCATTGCTCCATCCACCCCTGGGCATGGTGCCTGGGAAGAGAAGTGGCTCCTGACAAATCTAGGACCTGTGCTCTGGAAGCCTGGGCTCTCTGGGCAGCTCTTTCCCTACTCACCTCTGCTCAGTGACTGGGACTTTCCAAGCTCACACGGGATTCTTCCTGTCGGGATATCTGGAGGACCCTGGGGCATCCCTACTCAGAACTAGATTCAGCAGCTCAGGAGGATCTCCAGGATGACAATCCCTGCCCCAGTCTGGTCCCTGTGACACTCTCATGGTAAAGATTTTTTCCTTAACAAGAATTTCCTTTCTCCAGCTCATGCTCCTACTTTCTCATCCCATCCCTGTGCACTTCTGAAAGGAGATGGGCATGTGTCATATCTTGCATCCCAGCACACAAGGACAGGCAGAGCGCCCACCAGCCTTGATAAACACGCCAAGACGGCCACCATCCCCTTCAGGGCATGGGTTTTCCTCCCAAGGGAAGGCAGGGAACCAAAGCTTTGGAGTGAAAGGAGCACTGATCAGGGCATCCTGCTGCAGAGAGCGTTGTGGCTTCACAGAATCCCCAGCACCTGACCCTACACAAGCAATCCTGGAGTGATTTCCCAGCCGCAGGGGTAGGGCTGCTCTCATTCCCACCAGGAGACCCCCCCCTCTTTCCACTGCGTTTGCCCTCTTGGGCACCACAAACTGTAACTGCTCCCGCTTGGAGCGAGGAGGGAGCAGCGAAGCCACATGCACGGCTGGGCAGACGGGCGCCCTGGGGAGCTGGGGGAAGGGCTGTGTGGTCTGGCAGGGACAGCGTTTCTTGCAGCCCCTTCTGCTGCCCCAGAACGCAGCAGGCAGGAAAATGGAGTGGCAGTGGTGGCTGGGCAAGGTTTAGTGCCCACAGGCAGCTGAGTGATGTTCCTCCTCCCTAGTCCTTTGCTCTCTGCACGACTTTTCCAAGGCAGCTCAACCTGCGGCATCTCCTGCTGCATCCCACCCTGATCTCTCTGTCTGGCCTTGCCAAGGCACATCAGTGCTGACCTGCGGCAACTGGCCACCCGCCTGCCTGTGCCAAGGCATCTCAGAGAGACATACCCCCCTCTAGTTTCCAGCATTTTCCAAAAACAAGCTCCTAGCTGCATCCTGATTCCCTACCCCGAGAGAACAAGGCTGGCAGCTGAACACTCTTCTGCACCACAAGAGGGGTCTTAAAATCTACAGGGTATGAAGTGGGGTGTTAGTGGTGCACTGTCCCCATTCCATCCCCTCCATCCTGCTGCTCACCCTCCTCTGCCATGTTTCCCCAAAAAAGGCTCTTCTTTAGACTCCTCACCTCCCTGCAACATCCCCAGCCTGAGCCATTTCCTTCAGGAAAATGGGATCCTTGGAACAAGTCTGTTCTCCTCAACCCCTCCCACCCCCCCACCCCGTTTGAATTTGGTCCCCTGGAATAGTGGGGTCAGGGAGGGAAGCTAGAAAAGACTACAAGGTCTGGGGAGATGAGGAAAAGGAACAGGATAGGACTATTCTGTGGTCTCCCTTAGGGGAAGGAAGCAAGGGGGGGACATGACACGGTTCCCCCCCAAGGAACAGCGATGAAGATGTGCAGGGGTGGGGGCTGCATTACCAAGCAGAGCTGAAGAAGGGGGGGAGTCGGGGGGCTCGGATCCTGCCGGTGCACCTGGGGGACTAGGAGGTGGTGGTGAATATTTTACTCTAAATCAAACAATAGGACCAGAGCCGCTCCAATGATTTTGCAGAATGCGTTTGGTCGGAGACAGGGGAAGGACTGGAGGGAATGAAATAAGACCCCCGAAAATTTCTGTGTCCCGTCTCACCCCCACCCTCAATCCCCCTCTGGCCTGAGCAGCACTCGAGGGGGTTCCCGGAGGAGCGCGATCCGCTCCATCCCACCTCCGGGGTCTCAGCCCCGGGAGGGCTGGGCGGTGATGGAAGGAGGGGGAGCGGGCAGGGGGGCGCAAATCGGGGATTGGAGGGGGATTAGAAAGAAACAGATCTGGGCGGGGGTGACAACGACGCCGCCAGGGGTGGTCTTGGCGTGGGAGATGGCGCGGGGGACGGGCTGGCAGTGACCGGCGTTGCCGATGCAGGCTGGGCTTCATTTACCGGGAGCCGTCCCGATTCCACCCGTGAGCGGCCCGAGCCCACGCGTGTCCCAGGCGCTCCCCTCCTTCCACCTGCCCGCCCCTGCCTGCCCTCCTCCCCGACCGGCGACCCCACGAGCACGGCACGTCCCGCGCGGGTTTCGCTGCACTCCCAGGGACCAAATCCTTTTCCCAGCCCGACAAACCCCTCCAGCTCCGCCGCCTCCTGCCTCCTCCGGTCTCCCGGTCGGCTCCGGATCCTGCTTCCCACTCGGGTGCCCATGGGGAGCAAGGTGGGGGGAGCGGTTGGGGCCGGCGGTTCCCTTCCCAACGGGGACCTGTAAGCAGAGACAAAGGCGGTGAAAGATCAGTGACCGGCTAAAGCGGCTCCGAGCCCCTTCGAGCCTTTAACTAGATCGTTAGTGGATTATCCGCACCCTGAGCAGCCGCGGGGCGGGGGCAGCGGCCGCCCCGTCCCGTTACCGAGCGCCCCCGGGGACGGCGACGGTGGGAGGCGACTCACGGAGCTGCCCGGGCGCGGCGGCGGCTGGAGACGGGTCTGCGGGGAGAACGGATCGGCCAGCGGAGGGACCGTGAGCGGTACCGGGGCGGGGAGGGGAAGGGGGGGCGCAGGGGCCGCCGTCTGTCGCGCTTCGGGTGCCGGCGGGGGACCCGCGGCTCGCTCTGCTCCCGCCTCCCGCTCGCCTTCCGCGGGGGGCCGAAAGTTTGTGCCCCCGGTGGGGGCACCGCTGGGGGTGTGGGGAGACAGATCCCGGGGTATCTGGGCAGGATCGCGCCCCGAGAGCCCGAGGGGGCTGACACTGGGGTGCCCGGTGGGGAAGCGGGATTTGGGACGCGGAGCTGTGGGCAAACGGGGTGTCGGGGGTGGGAAGGAGGCAGGGATAAAAGGGGGGGGGGGTCTCTTTGCCTCCGCGCTGATGGGCTCAGCTTTATCCAGGGCTGTAATCCCCCTGCTCCTGTAATTAAAAACTCCGCATTACAAGGAAAACGGTGTGCAGGGAAATGTAATCAAGTCTGGAGGGGCTTAACCATCTGGTAAAGGTTAGGACCGGCACGGCGGGGGACGCGGCCGGGGGATTTGGCAGCAGCCGCGATCTGGGCTCCTCTTAATCTACCGCGGGGACGAGCGCAGCATCTGCGGGGTAATACCGGTGCCCCGGGCAGCGATCGGTCTCGCTGGAGCTCCCACCGCCGTTAACGGGATCTGCCCGAAGGTGGTCCCCTCCCCAGGTGCGTCCGGCTCCTGTAAACAGATTCTGCTGTGGCCTCGGGATTCGGATTGTGGTTCCGGGATTCGGATTGCAGCCCCTTGCGGGGGCCAGCAAAGAAAGGGTTAAGCGACTGCCGGTGGCCGCGGTTCGGCCCCGTAGCTCTGGGCAAGGCCCTCCTCCGCCGCCCCCGGGAGCCCTAAACTCTTTGAAAGTGCAAGAGGCAAGCGAAGGCGAAGGAGGGGGCGGCGGCGCGGGTGCGACTTCTCGTCCCCGGGATTGCCGCGGGGCCATGGGGGCCGGGGCAGGCTCCGGGCGGGGGCAGCTCTTCCTCCGCACCCTCCTCTTCCTCCTGTTGGCCGGGCTCCCTGCATGGGGCCAGCTGCGCTACGCTGTGCCGGAGGAACTGGAGCACGGAGCCTTCGTGGCCAACCTGGGTGAGGACCTGGGACTGGATGTGTCCACCCTGTCAGCGCGGAGGTTCCGAATCGTGTCACGGGCCGGGGCCAGGCAGCACCTGGAGGTGAACCTGGAGAACGGGATCCTCTTTGTGAACGAGCGGATCGACCGGGAGGAGGTGTGTGAGGCCGGGGGGACCTGCCTGCTCCACCTGCAGCTCCTCGTCGAGAGCCCACTGGAGCTCTACCGCGTCGAGGTGGAGGTGCTGGACATCAACGACCACGCACCCACCTTTCCTTGGCAAGAATACGTGCTGGAGGTGGCCGAGTCTGCCGTGCTCGGTGCCCGCTTCCCACTGGAGAGCGCCCAGGATCCTGACGTGGGTACCAACTCCGTGCACACCTACCGCCTCAGCCCCAATGGCTTCTTTTCACTCGAGGTGCAGACACGCAGTGATGCCAGCAAGTTTGCAGAGCTGGTGCTGGAGCGTGCCCTCGACCGTGAGCAGCAACGTGTGCACCGGGTGCTGCTCACCGCCCTCGACGGCGGTGTCCCCGAGCGCTCGGGCACAGCGCACATCCTCGTCACCGTGCTGGACGCCAACGACAACGTGCCTGCCTTCGACCAGCCCTCCTATGGTGTGAGCCTTCCTGAGGATGCTCCTGCAGGCACTCTGGTCATCCAGCTCAATGCCACCGACCTGGATGAGGGCCCCAACGGGGAGATTGAGTACTCCTTCAGTGGCCACGCACCGCCTCGTGTCCGGGAGCTCTTCCACATAGAGCCCCGCAGCGGGCAGGTGCTGCTGAAGGGCCGCCTGGACTACGAGCGGGCCAGCATCCACGAGCTCTATGTGCAAGCCAAGGACCGCGGGCCCTCGGCTGTGGCTGTGCACTGCAGGGTGCTTGTGCACCTCCTCGATGTCAATGACAATGCGCCAGAGGTGACGCTCACCTCTGTGTCCACGCCCGTGCTGGAGGATGCTCCCCCAGGCACTGTGATCGCTGTCATCAGCGTTCTGGACCGGGACTCTGGGGACAACGGGCGTGTGAGCTGTGAGGTCGGCCCCAATGTGCCATTTGAGCTCCGCTCCTCCTTCCGGAACTACTACACGCTGGTCACCACGCAAGCGCTGGACCGGGAGGCTGTGCCCGAGTACAACGTCAGCATCACAGCACGGGACATGGGCTCGCCTGCCCTGCTGACCCGCAGCACCCTCACCATCCCCGTGTCTGATGTGAACGACAACGCTCCGCGCTTCCTCCAGCCCTCCTACAGTGTGTATGTGATGGAGAACAACGCACCAGGTGCCTCCATCTGCTCCGTCAGTGCATTAGACCCTGACTGCCAACAAAATGCCTACCTGTCCTATTCTATTGCCGATGGGCACATCCATGGCATGCCCGTGGGCACCTACGTGTCCATCAACTCAGACAGCGGGCACATGTACGCCCTGCGCTCCCTGGACTATGAGCAGATCCGCAGCTTCCAGATCCAGGTGCAAGCACAGGACGCGGGGTTTCCCCCACTCAGTGCCAACGTCACCGTCCACATCTTTGTGTTGGACCAGAATGACAACGCTCCGGTCATCGTTTCCCCCATGCCGCGCAACGGCTCCGTTGCCACCGAGTTGGTGCCGCGATCGGCCAGGCCTGGCTACCTCGTGGGCACGGTGTCGGCGGTGGACGCGGATGCGGGGCTGAACTCTCGCCTCTCCTACCAGCTCCTCCAGGCTACTGACTTCACCCTCTTCAGCGTGGCGCCCGACACGGGTGAGCTGCGCACCCTCCGCTCCTTCCTGGAGCAGGACGCGAGCCGGCAGCAGCTGGTGGTGCAGGTGCGGGATGGAGGGCAGCCAGCCCTCTCTGCCACCGTGTCCCTCCTGCTTTCCGTGGTGGAGACCATGCCCCAGACTCTCTCTGACTTCAGCGAGTTCAGCCTCCCTCCAGAGGTCTCCTCGTCTTCCCCACTCACCCTCTATCTCCTCGTCTCCCTGGGCTCCATCTCCTTCACCTTCCTTCTCGCCATCCTCATCCTCACAGCCATCCGCTGCCGTGGAGAGCGGCGCTCCCGCCAAGGGGACAGCTGCTCGCCACCTCGCTGCCACTGCTGTCCCGGGTCCAGAGCCTCCTCTGATGGCCTGAAGACTTCCAACCTGACGGCACAGCCCCCTGCAGGGACCACGGCTGCCACCTGCCTTGATGTGCCTGCGGGCGGCCCCCCAGGCTACTGCTACAAGGTCTGCCTCGGTCCTGAGTCTGCTCAGAGCGACTTCATGTTCCTCAAACCCTGCAGCCCCCCCCGGAACAACGAGAAGGATCCCGGGAAGAGATCCCGGCCAGACCAGCATCTCCAGGTCTCCAAAGAGGTAACACAATGCCCAGCACTCTGTGCTTACCAGCACTCTGCAGGTCCCCTCAGCCCCCTCCCTCAGCCTCTGCCACGAGGGAAGCCAGGCACGGCTTCTCCCAGAGAATAACTGGAGCCTTTGATCAGTGCGGGAATTAGGAGCCGTCAGGCAGCGGGATCTCCACCGAGCTTCCCGACGGGTCTAATTACCGGGGGAACGCCAGGCTCGGCTGAGGCGAGAGGAAATCCCTTCTCACCGTCTTTTGTACCCATTAGAGGCAGCAGAGATGAGATACTCCAGTGCCCTGGGGGCGGTGGGATGATGAGGGTGGTTCCTCCTTCGCGTGGGTAAGGAATTCACAGTGGGACAGTCTGAGCATCGCTGCTGCTCTGCTTCCCCTGTGCTGGCAGGGGGCTGCAGTGTCCCGGGCCTGGCTGCTGCTCTGCACCAGGCTGTGCCAGCAGGCAGGGTGTGGGGTCTTCGGGGCAGGATTTTGATGTCAACATTTGTTAGGTGTTGAAATGAGGAATGTCTAATTTTCCCGATGAAAGACTCTCCAAAACACGATTACAAGGATGGAGAGTGATGAGGCGTCTAATCCACTTACGTTTGACTTTTAATAAACCAGCCCTTCCCTTCTCTCTGCCTAGAGTCTCTCCACGTGTCTCCTTGCACCCCTGGACTCTCTTCCCTAACACTTAATTAGATTTTCCCAAGAAGTTTTTGCAGCCCTCCTGGGATATCGAGCATACAGCAAATTTCTGCATCTCTCATCATTTGGTACCTCAGACCTGGGCTATGTAAATATTACACATGCAAAAAAGGCTTTTGAAAATTAGCAGGAATAAGAAAACCACCTATCTCTCCCCAGAATGACAGGCTTAAAACTCTCCAGGGCAGAGGACAAGCCCAAAACCACCCCAATATCTCAGGAGAGTGAGGAAGGACCAGAAGGGAACAGGCCGATTCAATGCTGTCTCAGTTTTCCCAAAACAGGAATGTGCTGCTTGCTTCTCCACAAAGGGCCCAGGGAAAGTGGAGATGTGGTTTTGCATCCCTGCCTGCTGAAGCCTTGTGCTGGCAGGGCTGGGTTTTTTGACAAAGGGTCCCAGGGCTGATTGACAGAGTGTCCCAATAACCAGCCTTGATCTTTCCTGTGTTTTCCAGGCCAAGCAGCCCAACACAGACTGGCTGCCCCCAAGCACACAGAGAGCTGCCCTGAAAAGGTACAGAATCCAGCACTGGGGGAACAGAGGGAGCAGGTGGAAGGGGGATATGGGAATGGGGAGGTTATATCTGACACAGCTTTGAACCAGTCTGTTTTCTGTAGCTCCCAGAGCCTGGAAGATGTGGGGGAAATCCGTAGAGCCCTCCAGAAGGAGCACGAGAGGCTGTGCACGCTGGTGACCCCTGTCTCTGGTTAGTATTGGGATACTGGGGCTGGGAAGACCAGACCCTCTGGGCACTTTTGGAGGTGCAGTGGGAGCATCACATCCCTGTTTCTAGCAGTGGTGAAGTTTTGTGGGTGGAAGGGTTGTCCAGGCACCAGGATGGAGGTTGGTGACACAGGATTTGCATCCTGGCATGAGGATGTGACCTGAGCCAATCTTATGCTCATCTTTTCTCCAGAGTTTCAGAAGGCTTCAGCAGGTCCCAACAGCATCTGGACACCCCAATACAGTCCCTTGTACCCAGCCCTGGATTATCAGCACAACGTTTACATCCCAGGCACCCCCACTCTGCTTTCCAGCAAGGATGGGCCCCTCTTCCCAGGCCGGGAGAACAAAAACAGCTTCTCCACCTTTGGCAAGAGGAAGAAGATGACAACTTACTGTGACATGCATGAGAGTGTGGTTATCAACAACGACCTGAAATAGCCTGGATGGCTCTATCCTTGAAATCTTCTGCATTGTTTCAGCTGCCAGGTCCACCCACAGCACACACCTCCATGTGTGGACCACTCAAGACTTTATGGGGCTGCTGGGAGAGTGGCTCAACAGAGCACGTGGGAAGGATTTAAGGAGCAAGAAACTGAAAATTCCAGTGATTGGGGGGTGGTGGCAGGGGGAATTTCTCCCATCTCGTCTTGCAGAGCTGTATTGGCAGCAGGTGCTCTTTGAGGTCCATACGACCAGATTTAAGGAAATCTGCCTTGAGTTTACCCATTCCCATGTCCCCTTAGGGACCATTCATCTCTGTAAACATTGTCACTTCTTTGTCTTGTCTGGCTGTGTGAATGTACTGAGCTGCATGCCTGTGTCCCTGTCCTGTGGAAAGTGTATGCAGACCAAGCCTGGTTCAGCCAAGCCGGACCTTACACACTGGGACAGTGACCATTGCTCTGTCCCCAAGATCCAGCAGGATGTGTTGCATGTCTAGAGCAGCAATTGGTGTCTGTTTTCTCTGGGAAGTGAGTGCAAAACCCAGCCTTCATGAGTGCTTCTCTCCAAACCCTGACCCAACACTTGCAGGGCTGGACAGAGCCCAGGTCCAGGGCAGAGACAGTCTTTGTTCCAGGAACAGCATGTGCACACACGGACTGGATGGCCAGAAGAGCTGCTAGCTTAAGCACCTGAGAGATGCACAAGGTGAGGCCCTGCTGGGCAGCTCTCTAGCCCAAGGCAACGTCATCTGAAAGAAAAACAATTTCCAACCATTGGAGTGACCCCAGCACAGGTGACAGTGTCTTCCTCCAGCCCCTGCCCTCACTCAGATCTCTGTTTTCCCCAAGTCCTGAATGCCTGGAGGACCCCCTGCACTGACTGGTGCACTGGGGGCTCCACCTGCACAGGACAAACATCTCCAAGTGTGCCCTTTTTCTCTTTGAGAACTTTTAGCTGGCAGTCAGGAGCCCCCAAGGGCAGGACTCCAGCCCCAGAACAGTCTCTCCCCTGCCTTGTGCACCCTGCACCTGTCCACCAGTCTGTCTGTCAGCATTGCCAATTGCTCTGGTCATGGGACAGTTCATTTTGAATCCATCTGTGCCGAACATGACAGCTCTTTCTAAACTGAGTTTGTTTCACTATGTCTGATTTGTACCAATAAATTGTATTTTAATAGCTCACCCTGGCTCCTGGCTGTCCCTGAGTTGCACACAACAGCAGGGATTGCTGCACAGCTCTTGGAGCAGTACTCCCAGCTCCAGGAAATACGTCTGTCCTTCTGAGTTCTGGAGCAGAGAGCTCCTTTTATGCCAAGAGCCCATTTTATTCACTTCACCTGGATTCTGGGGGCTTAAGATCCCCTTCCCTCCTTCCCTGGACTCAGGAGCACTTTGGGGTGATGGCCAGAGGGAGCTGAAGATGTCACACAGGTCCTTGCTCCATGCTCCAGTTTGGGCAGGGGGTGATTTGCACCATGGCGTGGGAATCCAGGAGCTGCTGGGGAGAGGGGCTGGGTGTGGCATTAATGACAGAACAACTCGTGGTTGATAGGCTGCTTTCTGTGAGTAATTTACCCTTTCCCCAGGATAGGCAGCTTGTCTCAGGAGCCACAGAGATAACCTGGATCTGTGCCAGGTGTAGGGGCCAGCTCCCTGGGGATAGGCAAACCTGGATCTGTTGGTGGGATGTCTCTTGGCTTGATGTGGGAAGCATTTGGCCTTCAGATGGAGTCCTGAGGTGGCCAGGCTGTGGTTGTCCTTCTCATACCCTGAACTTGCCTGGTGGCTGGCGTGGGGAGGCTGCAATGCGGCTTTTGGGATTAACCCAGAAAAGTCCTTGTCTACAAGTGGGCAATGTGCTCTTGAGTGGCAGCAGGGGACAGGGAGCACTCAAAGGGGCCCTGTGGGAGTCAGGAGCCCAGGAGGACAGTGCTTTGGACATGAAAGGGACCTGGCTGCTTCTGGTGACTTCAGTCCCAGCTCACATCTGCCTGACTGCGGGTAGATGAAATATTCCCTGTCCCAATTAGACAGTAGGATGAAGGATTTTATGCTGCCTAGTGCATTCTTCAAGGGTCTCCAGAGAGTGTAAAGGGTAAAAAAGAACCCCAAACAGCTACTGCCTGAGATCTCTGTACAGCATTAGCCTGTTCCACTGCTTCAAAAGAACAAGGGAATTATGTAAAGTGATACAATAAGATTAATAACAGCCTCAAGAAGTAATAAAAGCATCAAATGGACCTGAATCCCTGCAGGGCAGCAAGCATCTCCCCCTCCTGGATTAACTCTGGCAGCATCTCCCCTGCATTTTTAGGTGGTGCTGGTGAGGCACTGGGAGAGGACCCCTCTGCAGAGAGCCCACGGGGGCTCAGCTGAGCCCCTCTGCAGGAGGGCTGAGCTGCTCCCTGTGCTCCAGCTCACACAGCAAAAGCACCCAGCACATCCTTGTGCCATGTGCTTCATGGCATCCAAGAGCTAACTGAAAACATGGAAGTGGTGTTTTGTATCAGATTCCCAGGTGTGGCTTCCCAAAAGGAAACTGATCTCAAAGTTGACCCTCCAAAAACCACAGGCATTTGACAGTGACATTTTGCATCTCTGTCTTCAGAAAATCATGGGGTCGAGCAACCAAGGGGACAGATTTGCCACCTCCTCTATCACTCTCCCGTGTATTTTCCTGGCCTTTTTTAATCCCTACTACCAAGGCTCATTGATGCTCACTGAATTGCCTCCATGTCCTCTCCATTACACCTGACCATCAGCCTATGGGCAGAGACAGATACACCCAGACACCCACACACACACACACACCCACCCACACACACACACATCTGTATTTCTTGCTGGCCCCCAGGTTTGCATGTTCACTTCAGGCATCTTCCAAAAGGGATTTGAGCACCACAGCACCCAGCCCAGGCCCCAACACCTCACATTCCCCCAGTATCTGCTTTTACTTAGTTGAAGGAAAACCTTGCACTGACAAGAGCTTGGTTTCAATCTTTCATTTCAATCACCATATTGATAAAAAGGACAATAAAAAGGGACTTGCTTTAGGGGAGAGAGGACTTGCATAAATCTAATTCAACCACACTACTATCCCTCTTCAAAGGGCATGTCTGGTCAGAATCGTCCATCTAATAGATGAGATCTCCTTTGAAGATCTCCCACAGGGGCAGGGTCTCATTAAAAATGCAAGGTCTTTGCCCTACAACTAGTTATTTTTACAACTCTCCCTGTGCTAACACTCCTGCACAGCCGATGAGCATTAGCTGGTTTCTGTAGCCTGGTAATGCACCGGGCATGAGAGCTCCTTTGGAGATCTGCTCAGCAGAGCACTCTCTGGATGCCCCTCTCACATGTTCCAGCTCTCTCAGAGATCCAGAGGCAAATTTGGCTTTCAGGGACCTGCCAGCCAGCTTGAGATTTGCTTCTAGGACAGTGGGAAAGCTGCCATGTGGTGCAGTTGGCTGCAGAATGCTCCAGGCCATGCGAGGCAGGCACACAGCACTTCTGGGCAGCAGCACAAGCAGGGGTTTGTGCTCTTGCTGCTGCTGAATAGACTGCTCAGATGGAAACATCACTTGTATCTCTGTAATGACTTGAAAATGCATCCCAGAGAGACAAAACAGATCCAGAGGTAGGGAGAAAAGAGGCTACAGGGAAAGATCCAGAGGGGCTGATGCTCAGTTCTACTCCCATCTGCCAGGCATGGAATGAAGAAGCAGCCAGCAAATCCCCCAGAAAGTCACAGCATGGACACAGCATTCTGCACACAGCTGGGTCAGGTGGGTTGAGCCATGGGTACAGGGAGGTCTGAGCTCCCAGAGGTCAGGACAGAGCCAAAATCCATGAGGACCAGTTGGAGCCTCTGCGTGGACCTCAGATCCAGCCCAGTCTGTGTCACTTAGTGGTTAATTAGATCCTCCAAAGATGCTAGGATTTT